AACCCCACCCCCCGCTAAAAACTGAAGTTTGAACTCACTGAATGCCCAGGTCTGTTCGTGTGCTGAGACCCTCCCCACGCTCGATAAGGCTGATAGCGGCCTTGAGCGAGTCCTTGTCCTTGTAGGATGTGAAGTCGATTCTGTTGCTGGGGTGGACATCAGAGCCGTAGGTGATGGTTGATACACGCACCTGGTGGTAGAGGTGGAAGGTGGTGAACAGAATTGGGAAGTGGTGAACAGAAGTGGGAGGTGGGAAGTGGAGGTGGGAAGTGGTGAGCAGAGGTGGGAGGTGGGAAGTGGTCAGTGGAGGTGGGAAGTGGTCAGTGGAGGTGGGAAGTGGTCAGTGGAGGTGGGAAGTGGTCAGTGGAGGTGGGAAGTGGTCAGTGGAGGTGGGAAGTGGTCAGTGGAGGTGGGAAGTGGTCAGTGGAGGTGGGAAGTGGTTAGTGGAGGTGGGAAGTGGTCAGTGGAGGTGGGAAGTGGTTAGTGGAGGTGGGAAGTGGTCAGTGGAGGTGGGAGGTGGTGGGAAGTGGTGAACAGAGGTGGGAAGTGGTCAGTGGAGGTGGGAAGTGGTTAGTGGAGGTGGGAAGTGGTCAGTGGAGGTGGGAGGTGGTGGGAAGTGGTGAACAGAGGTGGGAAGTGGTCAGTGGAGGTGGGAAGTGGAGGTGGGAAGTGGTGAACAGAGGTGGGAAGTGGTCAGCAGAGGTGGGAAGTGGTAACAGAGGTGGGAAGTGGTCAGTGGAGGTGGGGGGTGGTCAGTGGAGGTGGGAAATGGAGGGAAGTGGTGAACAGAGGTGGGAAGTGGTGAACAGAGGTGGGTAGTGGTCAGTGGAGGTGGGAAGTGGTGAACAGATGTGGGAAGTGGTCAGTGGGGGTGGGAAGTGGTTAGTGGAGGTGGCAGATATGAGGTAGGCAACTAGTGGGAAAGGACAAATATGCGAGACAAAATAAAACGATGGTGTAAATGAAGCTGTTTGCTAATTGAGAGGTTAAGTCTAATAGTCAGTTATGTCAAATGTCCGTCTGATGACACAACATCATGTCAAATGTTGATGACACTTTGAGAAATTCCATATCATGTCATGTCGAATGTCTAATTGATGACACTGAAATTCTGTCTAATGACACCAGTCAATTCAAATGTCCTTCTGATGACATGCCATATCAAATGTCCGGCTGATGTCACTGACCTTGTCGGGCCCAATGTTGAAGTTGTCTATGATGTTCTGCACAAACCACAGAGCCTCGGTGAAGTTGGGCCTGTTGATGCTGTTGCTGCTGTCTATGACGAAGGAGAGGTCCATCGGCTGGGCCAGGCACTCTGGGGGACAACAATAGGTCATAGACTGGGGGACAACAATATGTCATAAACTGGGGGACAACAACAGGTCATAGACTGGGGGACGGGTCATAGACTGGGGGACAACAACAACAGGTCATAGACTGGGGGACGGGTCATAGACTGGGGGACAACAACAACAGGTCATAGACTGGGGGTGGGGGACAACAACAGGTCATAGGCTGCTAGTTGCTACAGCACATAGTCAAGCAATCAGTGTGGCAAATATAAAACCTTAGCAGCAGCGTTTCTTACAGGCATCCCCCACCCCCGGAGCACGCCCACCGGCTCCCCCTAAACGAAATTTTTAAAATGTTCATAACTTATAAGAAAATTTACACATGAATCCCCACCCCAACCCCGCCCTCTGGAAGCTTCACATTCCCCACGTGAGAAAAAATGTCTGAAAGAAACACTGCCCAGCTGCCGGGGCTTATATAATGTCCTTATAACGGGCCTCGGCGCCAATGACGAAGATAAATTGTGTAAATAGTGTAAAAGAGAGCCCATAGAAAATATATTTACCATCTAACTCCGTTTTGTTACAATTTGATTGGGCAGGCGCAGACATGACCATCAGCGGCGCCACCTGTAGGAGAAAGATCTACGTGTTAATGACAAGACAATTTGTGTGTGTGTGTGTGTTGCCGATTAAAGTTGTGATCTCAGGCAAGAATCAACAGGACAGCAATGTTATTCAATGTAGTGATGCTAAAGAACATTTGTTTATGCTAATAATCAATGTAAAATGAGTAAAGTCCCCCCCTTCGAACCTGACATAAATAACCTCGGCACATGAAGGAATGATGTGGTCAGTAATTTACTTTCACTAACGTGAGCCAGGTACCCATCAGAGCTGGGTGAACTCAGTGATATCGAGATCTTGACGCTCTAACATCCGACCACGTCGCCCCCCCCCCCCTAACAATCAAGGTGGTGATACCAAAGTAAGGGTGATCAGATCACCACGGTTTTGGACGAGACAGGTGGTGATACAGAATGTATCGTATCAACATGCCATAAGACGGTCAAGTTTGGCAGTCATAGAAACCGACAACCTACATCAACAATGTATACACATGTTGGGGGGGGGGGAGTAGGGACATGTAGGACCGTTGAATTCTTTGATCTTCCTCAAGCGACATAAACATATTTACTATCTCCATTAATTGTGATATATTATGGGGGAAAACTCTAGGAATGGCACGGTATTAATTGACCAATCAAGGGCGGTAATTATTGCTTCCCTTTCTCTCGAACCCAGCAGGCGCATTTAAAAATGACGTCATTGTTGCGTGCTTGTCGATGTCGCCAGAAATGATGACGAGTTGTAATTAGTAATTACTTAAGATGATTAAATAAATTAAATTACAAACGCGAATGTTGGACGATCTAAACTTTGTTTGAGTTCAAACCAGTCAGAAAAATAAACATTGTTGGTGCTGTTTGGAAAAACCCAGTTAGTACCAAAGGTAACTAAATTTTCGGGGTACTAGACTGGTTTTAGATCAGCCTCTCCCTTGGCCCGCCGATGTGGACACTTAGAAATAAAATGTCTCTTACGTTCTTACGTCGTCAGGGGAGGGGGAGAGGACTTGCATTAAATTAAAACTTTATCTGCTTATATTGTCAAAAAGGCCAGACCTTCACTCTCCTCTCCACCCCCCACCCCCCACCCCACCGACGACATAAAAAATACATCCTACAATGTCGACGAAATTTGATTCCATTACTTTAAAAAAAAAAAAAAAAAATAATTTAAATAAAAATATGTGTTGGCGGCCGTTTTAAATCCCATCTGTTCCTCTTCCACATAACTATACCCCCCCTCCTCCCACACCTCTACCTAATAGAACAGATGAAGTAGAGTTCATCTGTTTATGTGACCACGGCACATGAAGTTATAATGAAGACGGTACTTTATTAAATTATCCAGCCGCCATTACTTTATCTAACGTCTGTCAAGTACCTATTAGAGCTGGGTGGACTCAGCGATGTCCTACAAAAGCGAGCCCGAGAACCGAACTCGAGATTTTTTTTGGTTAGCATACGAACGCTCTATCGCTGGACCACGCCTTCCCGGTCCAAAAAAAAAAGAAAAAAAAAATTCTATGAAAAAAAAATTCTTACCAAGCAGACGACTGCAAACAGCTGTAGATACATCTTGGCGCGGTAGGGCCTACTGCCTGTAGTCGTAGATGTGTCTAGCGCGACAACACGAAAGCGCAGTTAGAGAAGAAAATAAAAGTTTCTGGAAACCTCGAAAGTGCTTGGACTATGTTGCTCCGCGCAGTTTTATACTGCTAGGATAATGACGTGACCATGGGGGTTGATTACATGTTGCTAATTATTCATAATTAGGTAACAGAAGATGACGGTTATGTTTTCACGATTAGTGATGTTTAATGGGGGTTGTAACAGGAACCCTACTGGTCATCGGCCTTGATAGGGGCCTTGATACTTCGGTCTTAATAGGATAGTTTACATGTCGGCCTTAAGTTTACATACACTTAGGCCTTGATAGGGAACTTTACACTTCGGCCTTGGTAGGAAACTTTATAAAGTTTATAGGCCTACGCTGCGGCCTTGGTAGGAAACTTTATAGGCCTACGCTGCGGCCTTGGTAGGAAACTTTATAGGCCTACGCTGCGGCCTTGGTAGGAAACTTTATAGGCCTACGCTGCGGCCTTGGTAGGAAACTTTATAGGCCTACGCTGCGGCCTTGATAGGAAACTTTATAGGCATATGCTGCGGCCTTGGTAGGAAACTTTACACTTCGGCCATGATAGGAAACTTTATAGGCATATGCTTCCGATTGCTTCGGCATATGCTTCCGATTGCTTCGGCATATGCTTTGGCCTTAGTAAGAAGAGCTTTGATGATCTACACTTCTTTCTTAATGGCCCTCATACATTTGCATGAATGAACCTTACATTTTGCCTTGACGTCCGTCACACATCGACTTTGATGGTACTCAGACATTCGGTCCTTATTGTAGCAGCTACAGAGCCTATCAAAACCTTTATAAGTGGGGTCACGCTATAGTCTAATACTTGTGTAATGTATGCCAAAAACTTGACCCTTTATAATATTTTCAATAAAAAAAAAATAATTTCGTTAATTTGTGCATGTTTGATGTTTCGATTCTTGATTTCGTGTCTGAACGATTTTCTTTTAAGATTTAAAAACAATGAAATAAGCTCATTTACAGGTGATTATTTTGGGCCTAAGAGTGAGTAAATTTTTTTTTAAATTGAAGCTTATGGACCTATAATATATTCCAAAAAGGGGTCACCCATAAATGACGCCACGCTTTTTTTGGAAGATTTTTACCTCCCCCTCCCCTCCGTCACACATCGTCACAAAAAGCCCACATAAAATGACTTCACGCTTCAGCATAGAGCCCTCCTCAAAATTGCAGCTGAATTTTTTTTAAACATTGATTTTTTTTTCTAAAATATTGTCTGAACTCAGTCAACAGTATATTTTATTCAATTTCCATTACAATTTATTACAACAGTTTTCTAACTCGCGAAATAACGGCTAAAATCCTATATGTAACGTTACTTTTTTTAAAATGCTTAAGTGTGACGTCACACTATCTGAACACCCCTCCTCTCACCCTCATCACACACCGTCACAAAATTAGGGACCCCCCCTCTTTCCCCACTACTAGTGTGACGTCATTTATGACGACCCTCTAACATTTAAAGCAATAGGGTTGGGGCTTAGTCAAGAACTATTACAACATCTCTATGGCGTAAACACCGTGTCACATGGGGGAGGGCAGGGGCGCATGCAGTACCTAATAATGTCACCCGGCCTAGCGACGCCATTATTCCCGACATAAAGCCAAAAACGTGAAATGCCGGTTGTAATTAAAAAGAATAAAAGCGTTAGGTCGGTAAACGATTTGTGATGTCGGAAGTGACCCCCCCCCCCCCCCACCCCCGCATTTATGTGATCGTGCAACAACGTCATTCACCACGTGCTCGCGCGGCGTGCATCGCTTCCCACATTTCACTACCACGTGACTTCCAATTCTAATTTTAGCTTCACCCGAGTTCATACGGTCAGGCTAATTTATGCAGCCTATCATTAACTCTGCTGATAGATCACTTACATTTACACTTCTTTTTTTCTTCACACACAGTGTGACGGCAGTGGTCCAAAAGTTTCGAGTTCGAATCTTGGTCCGGCTCACACAATCTTCCTAGTCCACCCAGCTCTGATGGGTATCTGACTCACGTTATGGAAAGTAAAGGCGGCTGGGCATAGTGCTGACCACACTATCCTTTGTCGAGATAAAGCAATATATCAACTCTTCTTCATCTGCTATAAGGAACTTAACACATACAATAACATCATCAGACATGTATTGCATAGAACAGAGTCGTAGCGACCCTTCCCGGCGCCCGGGGACAAACTTTTAATTTCGCCACACCCCCCCCCCCCCCCACACACACACCCATATATTTTTTGTATTTATAGTGCAAAACTGCAGCTAAAATGAGCTTTTAATTTTTTTTTCAACCCATTTTGGCGCCCGGGGACATATTTACCCCCTCCCCCCCCCCCCCCTCGCTACGCCTCTGGCATAGAGCCTAATCACCAAAGGAAAACAAGAAGACCAACACTTTTATTTGAAGATGATCTGTCGAGAAAGAAATGGATGGCGCTGGAAAAACATGGCCAGAGACAAAGATATATTTATATATTTATTGAAAACCTACCCAACCTACTAAATTAAGCCAGGTCTTGAAATCCTACCCAAACACAACATACCCAACCTACTAAATTACACCCAGCTCTAACCCTGCACCAACCCCACGAAATCAAACTAAACCGTCAACAATTTTTTTTTTTTAAACCAGAAGGTTTAGTTTCTCCCTGACATTCCTCCCACATTTCAAATGACGTGCCATTTGTTGTGATCGGCCTCTAGAGCTCATTATCTCATTAGTCAGGAATTCTCTAGGCATATTATTGGGGTACGAGTTACACCATAACAACTGATATCAGCTAGAACAAAAAGTCGCATTCAGTTAGGCAGTGGCGTAATGAGGTCGGGTGTCACCCGGTGCGGCACTTAATGGTGTCACCCCCCCAGAGGCATAGAGACCCTTCCCAGGGAAAAACTTTCAAATTTTCGATTTGCACCCCCCCCCCTCAAGCTTTCGATTTGCACCCCCCCCCTCGAGTTTTTCTCTATATATTTTGCTATTTTTTGCCTTGGTGTCACCCCCCTAAATGGTGTCACCCGGTGCGGTCCGCATCCCCCGCCCCCCTCGCTACGCCCCTGCAGTTAGGTATATTAGAATCATTTGTCGCGGGAAATCTAACATTTGTAAATTATACCTAGCCATTAGAGTAGTAATAGTAAAACTTACGGGCGTTCAGTGTTTCGCCCAGCTCAGTATTAATATAATCGTGTTAATAGTCGGTTCGGACTTTAGTGAGGGTATGAGAAGGGCAAAGGTCAGAAAGTGTAACGTCACACTTGTGCACTATAAAATAATTTTTAAAACTAAATATTTGCAGTAAGTTGTCACAAAAATTAGGTACGTTGAAAAACAGAAGTTCAAATATAATATAGATCTGGCTCAGCGATTATTTTAAAAAGAAATCACCGTTTCTAAAAAGTAAACAGCTAATACAATGGAGGGGTGGGAATTGACTGAAGCTTGACGTCATTTTGAAGGAGAAAAAGTGCATCTTACAATTCGTGACGGTGGGTGGGGGGTGGGGGTGTAAACCGTGACATGAGACACTCGGACGACCCATTGTAAACAATAAATCAGACGATAGCACGTGGCATAGTTTAAATAATGCGCTGTGTCCCAACAGTTTTATTCGGCACATATTTATATGCATATCTCGCTTCTCACTTTAAAATGTTTTATGACCATTCCAGAAATGGCGAGTATTGATGGGGACACTTTTTGACACGCAGCCAGAGTTTCCTCCAGGCACATCTTCGGGGTGGGGGGTGGCGGATGGAGGGGCTAAGAAAGCGCCCCCCCCCCCCCCGAACGAGATGGAATTTTTATAGAAAACATACTTTTCCTTTTCCAGTGTCCGCCCGCCCGAAAAATCAAGTGCCCCCCCCCCCCCCCGAAGAAAAAAAGTCAGAAAGAAACACTGTAAGTAAAGCCTACGTAGAGTTTTAGTTTAGCTGCGGGGAATTACTATCCTAAACAATGGGATGATTCATTTGATATAATTCCATTTCCTTTAATTAAGCTGGTTAATCAACTCACAATTAGTGTGTCGAAAACTAGTTACCTAAGAATGATACATATAATGTAATAGTTGCATTATTGACGTCTGCTTTTTATCCCGCCAAAATCAGGTAGGCAACTTAATTATTTTTTTTAAAATAAATTAATAAAAAAAAAACAACAACAACTGCCACCAGTAAACACATTTGGTGAGTAGTGGTCCAACGATGACGTCACGTGGCTTGCACCTGGCCCGTCACGTGGGACTAACGTGTGTCATGTGGGCCAAACACACCACGTTCGGGTTAATTACCAGAGTGTCGTGGCCAGTTGGCTCTACCAATTACTATTAGCATCAACCCCCACAACAGCATTTTCCATAGTAACGCTCCTCAAAGGGAGCGCACTTTGATTATTCGTTTGCGCTGTTTGCGGACTTGTTTTTTTTTTAAATAATTATTATAACAGTAATCACACAGCTAAACACTATGCAATATACTTTATAATTTATTGACATAAAATCGTGACATTTCGCTAACGTAATTTACACATTTTTTAACATACAAAAATTTCAAATACAAAGACCGTGAACTGTGTTCAATTATGCGTTAACCATTTGTTTTTGCGCAGCCGGGTAAAACTTGCCAGATTGTCTGAATGCGCCGTCTCGCAATCTCCACACCAAGTGCAAACATTTTTTTTAGCACGACGCCACGGGGAGCTGGGCGCCAAACTTCTGGCACAGCTGAATTAGCTGAGCAGGAAGCAACAATATGACTACAGTAACGTGTTCAGTTGGTGTTATTCTTGTCGAATTTTGTAGCTAGGAAAAGCGAATGGCTCTCTTTCTTGTAAGCCATTGTTGTCTAACATCGTTGGGAGACTTGATTCGGAAGGAGATGGGGAGCAGAGTTTCTTTCAGGCATTTCTTGGAAGAGGCAGTGCCCCCCCCCCCCTCACCGTGGCATGTTCCCCAATAACGGACATAATAGAAGGGGAAATATTACAAATAGAAAATATAATATTTTAACCAGTGTCCGTCCCCGGAAATTTTAAGTTTGCCCAATCCCCCCCCCCCACCACCCGGAAGTTTCAAGTGCCCCAGACTGCCCAAGGAGAGAAAAATGTCTGAAAATAAACATTTAGTTTGGGGTGGGGAGAATGTATAGTGGAGACAAGCACTAGATAAGAATCCCCAAAGAAAGAGGAAAGTACTTAACCCAAAATAAACTTGGAAAAGATCACTTGCCAATGAAGCAGAAGCAGCCGGAATATCATGGGACCAGCTTGGAGGAATCGCCCAAATCCGAGAACGATGGAGGTATGTGGTTGCGTCCCTGTGCTTCGCAGGAGTGATGATGATTAGTGGACGTGTGTACAGCTTCGATGTAACGAACTTGAGTTGTGTTTTATTATCCGTTATTTAACCTGGTTTATAGAATTGTTGGTATCGGGAAGCTGTTGGTAAAGATTAGAACCCCGACCCCCCCCCCCTTATCAACCTCCAAATTGACTTCACATTAAATTACATCCATTGCAATGTCCAGTTCGTGTCAATTTATTGTTTTAGGGAATAAACTAGTGAATATCATAAAACCACACAATCTATATCTGTCCCTCTCTTAATAGCGTCACTCGGTGAAGTGAGAGGGGGGGGGGTGAGCACTGGCTGACACCATTTAAGGGTGACACCTAATTCGTACAATTTACTGACAAAACAGTGTTTTATCCAGTTAAAATAATAAAATAGTAAGGGGAAGGGGAGACACCAAACCAAATATGCTAATTTGTTGGACGGGGTAGTTTGACACTATCAGTGTTTATATATATATATATATATATATATATATATATATATATATATATATATATATGGAAATACATACAAATGCCTATAACTACATGCAATACTTTAAAAAAGAAAAACACCTCCCACAACAAAATCCTGCCAGCGCCACAGAGCTCACCTACTACGGTACTTAACTGTTTGACTGTGGGTGTGGATAGGACATACTAATTACACCCTTAATTGGATGATCTCACACAGAACTCGATATTGCTAATTAGGGTTAATTATTGTTATAACATAATTACGTAGGAACTGGTCATTAGCTACTGCTAATTAGTAGTCAGGTTTGGTACCCTGTGACTACCACTTGCACTATTACAACTAGCAATTACAAACACACCTAATGTCAGGTCAGCGTCATTACAGTGAGTCAAGTACAGCCCATGTCATAAGATTTATACACAAAAACACAACATACAGTTTCAACATTTTTCTAGTGCAATAGTTATACGCCAAGTTTCTTTCAAGGAGCACATCCAACGCCCCGCCCTCCACCACCGGAAAAAAAGAAAAAATCATAATTTTATATAGAAAATATATATGTTTACACTACAGCACCCTTCAGACTTAGGCAAAGACCTACTCTAAACTCTTGGGGTAACGAGTACCAATTCTATCTGTGGGCCAAGATGTACCAGCTGATGGCACAGATAGTCTTGCAGATACATTCAGAATGTTCAGATTATCCATATAACAGGTGATGTAGAGTCCAACATATTGGAGATACATTCAGAATGTTCAGATTATCCATATAACAGGTATTACTGAAGCATTTCAATATGACTAAGTGTTATCATTTCTATATGGCTTAGTGTTATTGTTTCTATATCTGGGTATCTTTCTATATTAGCTAGTGTTATCATTTCCATATGGCTTAGGACTTTTAATTTTATCCAACAGTTGTTAACTAAACTTGACATATAATACTACATACAATACTGACAACAGCAGCATCACAGGGGGTTTAAACCCAACCCGAGCCCTTAGTTCCATGCCACAACCCTCTAGAAGTTTTAATATTACCTTGTGTAAGACAGTTGTTGATGTGTTTTTTTTTTAAATTATCAGTTTTCGAACCACTGGATACTTACACTATTAAACAAGACAATTTACAAAAATAAAATAAAAACATAAACTATAATATAAACCTTTATTAAAGTAAAGTCCCAAAGTTCAATGCTAAAATGATAACTTGTACAAATGTGCCCATACAAAAATATCCCACAAAGGTTTTATTTAATTCAAATTATCAACTCATGGAAAGACTAAAATTTGATTACTCTAACAAACAAGATCGATGTCAAACATTAGAAAAAAATTGCATTTTGTTTTCGAGTTTTTAGAAAATATGATAATTTTTACTATAAAAATTTAATCCATTTCAGTGAAAATACTGAAAATTAGATAATCTTATAAGTACAACTGAATATAAAAATGAATATGAAACATTTGTAGAGTAATTTATGTTCAGTAAAATAGCTGTATTCTTAATTTGCCCAATATTAATACACAAAAAAATTAGACCATCAGATCTATTAACTTTGACAGGTAGATATAAAAAGATTTTTTTGTTTCTTTAAGTTCACTTTACCTTAACTTATGTAATCATTTTAAAACTGTAAAAACTGGAATGTTTCCTAACTTACTTTCCAATAAACAAAACAATAAAAAAAATTGTTTTAATTCTCTTAAATTTTCCAACTTATTTTTTTTTCAATGAAAATAAAACTTTCTACCTATGATACAAATTTCTACAGAAACAACTGTATATAATTTTTTATGTGTTTAACATCTTATTTTATATCAAATTGCTGTACCATTATTTCATTTTATAATTATCTCCCGTAGAAACTGATTTTGCGGTAGAAAAATGAAATTAGAAAAAAAAATTCCCAATGGAATAATTGTTACATTACTCTCAATAAAAAAATATTGGTGAGAAAATGAGTGTGGGGAACCCCACAACTGGTGAGAAAATGAGTGTGGGCGACCCCCCACAATTGGTGACAAAAGAAGTGTGGGGACAGCCACAATTGGTGACATCACGTGTGTGTGGACAGCCACAGGTCCTCTAGCTGTGTTGGTGGCCTGCGTGTTCCAGAGCTTCGTCTGTGCCGTGGACGTTCATCATGTGCTCCGCATACCTGGAACAAAACAGCTCGTTTTAGACCTTTATCACACAAACGTTAACAATTTCAAACATGATCCATTCAAAAACAAACTCACGAGAATTCAATTATACAAATAAAAAAATAAAGTTTAAAAAACTAACAACAAACTATAAATTTAAATGTTGCTTTTGTTAAATGTTAAAATTTTTAAATTGAGTAACACTTACATTAATTAAAGATTAAAAAAAATCTTCTGTGCTTAATAACACATAACTATTCTGAAATAAATGACTAATTTACTGTGATACTTGAATGAGTAAAATAATTCACTGTAGTGGTATTAGCAGTATTTCCCAATGCTACTTGAATTAACTAAATAATTCATAAAGCTATTTGAATGAACCAAATAATTCAGTGTGCTACTTGAATGAACCAAAAAATTCATGGTGCTACTTGAATGAAGCAAACAATTCAGTGTGCTACTTGAATGAACCAAATAATTCACTGCCCTACTTCAAATAATTCACTGCCCTACTTGAGTAAACCAAATAATTCACTGCCCTACTTGAGTGAACCAAATAATTCAGTGTGCTACTTGAATGAACCAAATAATTCACTGCCCTACTTGAGTGAACCAAATAATTCACTGCCCTACTTGAATGAACCAAATAATTCACTGCCCTACTTGAGTGAACCAAATAATTCACTGCCCTACTTGAATGAACCAACTAATTCACTGCCCTACTTGAATGAGCCAAATAATTCACTGCCCTACTTGAATGAACCAAATAATTCACTGCCCCACTTGAATGAACCAAATAATTCACTGCCCTACTTGAATGAACCAACTAATTCACTGCCCTACTTGAGTGAATGACTTACTTCTGGTGCCAGTCTGCCAGGGCATCTCTCTTGCACGACTCTGTGTGTGCCAGCTTGTACAGGACCTGGTGAGAAAGGTCAGAGGTTGTAGGTCATAAGTATCAAGGTCATAAGTATCAAGGTCTTAAGTATCAAAGGTCACAAGGAAGTAAAATATTGAAAAAAATTAAAGGTGACATATAAAATATCACATTATACTGCTTCAGAGAAATTATTTTAAAATGGCAAAAAAAAACTGATTAAAACAATAAAAAAGAAAATTGACAATGACACCCAATATGAATTAGAAAAATAATGACCAAGATAAACAACATAAAACATAAAGAAATCTGACCAAGACAAAAGAAAATTGAACATGAATTAGAAAAATGACTGACACATGACAACCAACATAAAACAAAAAGAAGATATCAAGAAAACTGACCAAGAAGACCATGAGATGTAGGATGACCGTGTAGAAGAAAGCAAACACCCTGGCTGTTTTGTTCCCCATGATCAGACGACCCTGGAGATAAAAAAAATCACATTAAAAATTCACATTAAAATCACAAGTAAAACATGTAAAAACCACATTGTAAATTCAAACTGAAACTGTTAAAATTAAAACCTAAGTACACTAAAAAAAAAGTAATTTCAACTTTAAATTCAATATTTCAGGTTCTCTCCCACTATTGGGTCTCTTTTAAAGTCTATACTGAGGTGAGAAAAGAAATGTACTTCTACACTATTTTTATTCAAGTTAAGGGAGAGAACCTTGAAATAAAAACTTTAAAAGTTGGGAGAAATGACTTTTTTAGATAGAAATATTACTTTCAAGTAAACAAAATATGCAGATAAAATACAAGATAGGTTGAATTTTTAGTAAAATAATGATACTGTTGCACATTTAAAGTAGCCTATAATGTGACTGAAAGTGAAATCAGACCAACAAAAGTGACCTACCATACTCAGCGTGATCTTGTCATAAGGCTTCAGCTCAAGGTAGCGTCTGTGTCGTTCCTAAAGAGAGATGTTGACTTTTATTTTTATTGGCAGTTTAAGTATTTTATAACATGTCAAAGTGTGGTTAAAAAAAAAGTTACACTTGGACAATACATTAAGTTCTACATTGACAAACAAAAAAAGTATTTCATAGACAGATGAAAAAAATATTATACATATAACAGAAAAAGTATCCTATCGACAACAGAAAAATATATCAAAGAGACAACAGAAAACAGCATGACACAGACAACAGAAAAACATATCACAGAGACAACAGAAAACAGCATGACATGGTCAACAGAAAACAACAACTGACCTTCCTGCTGAAAGATGTGAAGGGGTCAAGTCTCTCCTCGTACTGACTGGAGTAGGCGCTGGTGATGTCATCAGATGCAGACACCTGGCAGGTAGAAAGTGAGTACACAATAATGGAACAAAAACAATAACAACACACTCAGGTCAAATGGTTATACAGTACACAAAGATGGAACAATAAAAAGAAGTTCAAGTGATTATACACCCCAACAGTGTGACACTATAACACCGATACCACTATCACAACATGAAGTGATGTACACCTCAATTCAACTTTTGTCTGGAACAAATTTCAGCAAGTTACGGGAATAAAAACTTCCTACACTTAATGACAACATATTTTTATTTAGCAGAATCTTCCATTCTTAAGAGAGACGGAGTGGTCTAGCGGTAGAGCGCTGGACTGCTAACCTGTAAGTCTCGAGTTCGAATCCGGGATCAAGTCGGTAGAGCGCCCCTGAGTCCACCCAACTCTGATGGGTACCTAACTCACGTTAGGGAAAGTAAAGGCGGCTGGGCATAGTGCTGACCACACTATCTCTTCATATGCAGAGGTCACAGAAACAAGTGAACTCTACTTCACTTGCCCCATAGACCATCAGGTTTGAAAGGGAAACTTTACTTTTTACTCCATTCTTAAGTTTTTTATACGGGATTTAATTTTTGTCTTGAAAAACCAACACCACATCACATACAGCGAGTTACATACATGTATTAGTTAAATATATGTTATTATACTTCAAGCTTTATTAACAAACATTCATTAAATATTCCCAGAGTAACACAAAAAAAAAAAAATAAGCGCCTGTTATACAGCATACATTTTATCCCAATATTTTTTTAAACAAAAAATCAAAATGTTTACATTCTTTCCCTAGGTATGTTTATCTTAGGACTTAAATCTGTAAATAGATCTGAAAGTACAGTTAACTCTCCAATAAAATTGAGCTTGAAATGTAGCTTTGGCAAGTATAGAAATGACAGCCAACTAAAATTAACAAAACTCAAACTGTGCTCAACTAACAAATGTAGTTGGTGAAAGAAAAAAATATCTGGTGATTACAATTATAGTCTTTGAGTACAACCACATTTCTATTTTAAAAACTGTAAGGGTAAAAAAATGTTAAGCACAACTAGTAAAATTTAATTAATAAAAAAAAAATGGCTCAATTAATATAAAATTTTGATCCAATTTTTTTTTTAATTTTTAAAATTTAAGAAAATATAATTAAAACAAATATGTCTAAAATATTTAGTTTCTAGAAATATCTCCTAATAAATCCCACTTGACTGCAGGGGTCTAATACTTTGAAAATGCTCAAACAGTTATGTCCCAAGAATAGGCTCTCCTCAAGCTAAAGATAAAATGTACAAGCAATAGCTGACCAATCAAAAATATCCAATCAAAACTGAAAATTTTGATCCAAGTTTTTAAAATCCCATGTTCACCTACCTCAATGTCCTGAAAGTTGTTCAAGATTTTTTAAAGATGGATCAGATTAAATGTTAAGACAACAGGTTAATTATAGAGTAGGCTAAGTAGTAATGATAAAGACTTACAGTTTATAAATTAAAAAAAACTGGAGATTTTTATTTGTTAATAATTTTAAAAAAAGCAAAAATCCCTAAAAATAGTACAAAGTTTATAAATGCAATACACTTTTGAAATTTATTTTATTTTGGTTCTAAAAATAGATTTGCTTGCAGCAAAACAAATTTGAAAAGATTTCTATAGTGACCAGCAGTTTACTATTGATATTATAGTTAACAGATTAAAAAAAAATGGAAATAAAAGGCTTGTAATAAATTTTTTAAACTTGTTTATTTAAACTTTAAAATAAAAGTCTGAATGTTATTTAATATTGCCCTTTGTTAAAGAACAGTTTTCAATGAGAGCTATTAGGAAAAACCGTTCTGACAGTAAAAAAAAAATGTTTACTTGATCAAGATTTTTTACTTGACGATGTTTGCATAGTTGACCCACCTTGGAGGGATAACTCTGCAGGAACCTGATCTTCTCATACAGCTTGACGTTGTCTGAGCGCAGCTTGTCCATCTCATTCTGTAGCAGGGTCACCTGTTGCTGCTGGCTCATGGTTTGCTGGAGAAAATACAGCAGTTGACAGGCTGTACACAACAATTTTGACAGGCTGTACACAACAGCTGACAGGCTGTACACAACAATTTTGACAGGCTGTACACAACAGCTGACAGGCTGTACACAACAGCTGACAGGCTGTACACAACAATTGACAGGCTGTACACACCAGCTGACAGGCTGTACACAACAATTTTGCAGGCGGTACAGTACACGTACGTTATTTAGAAGGAAAAAAATTTCGGGTGTAAACGTGTATAGTTTGACTAAGTGGCCAACTGTTTGTATGGACCTGTAATATCCATCATAACCTGACCTTTGAGTGACCAACGGTTTTTCAAGGATCTATAACATCTAACTGTAAAAAACTGCGCAGGTCATTGACCTGGCATGGAACTTACCGCCTCCAGCTCCTGTGCTCGGAGTCTATAGCGCTCCCTCTGACTCTGGACAATGGGCAGCAAGGAGTCAGCAGCAGATTTATTAGACTCACCTGCTCAAAATAAAAGTAGGCAATAAATTTAACAGTAGTGGGCACCAAGGGGGAGAAGCATTGAGGAGTTACATTTTACTTGGGTTACCTTACTTGAATATACAAAAGTTATAGAAATAAAATCTTGAAAAAATCAAAAGAAGTTCATGTCCACATTGTATCAATGATATTCCCATCAAACCATTTTATAGAAATATTTTTTGTTACATTTTTTAATATTTACTTTTTCAAATTATATATAGAATCCAGATGTTTAAATCCTTAGTTTTTAAAGAATATTTTTGACACTCGAATTTTTTTGTAAAAAAGTTTATAAAAGTGGTTTAAAACTTCCATAGTAGTATAAACAGAAAGTGGTATTTCAACGCCGAGGGTAGACATAGGTACAGTAGTGGGCACCAAGGGGAAGAAGCTTGGTGGAGTTAAATTTTTTTTGGATTATACTTGAATTTACAAAAGTTATAGAAATAAAATATTAAGCCATGTCTACTCTTGATGTTGAAATATCACTTTGTTTATATTGCTATACCTGTGTCTACCATTGGTGTTGAAAAACTCACTTTCTGTTTATATTGATAATTCAGTAACGACTCCTGCTCCCACCCCCTCTACACTTTTAGAACTTCCATACAATTTATTCCATGTTAGTGTATAGACAGTTGGCCCTACCTGCTGGGTACATTGAGACCTCCTTGACAATGTTGGCCATCAGTTCACTGTGTGGGTCCCCTGGGCCGGGCTCACCCTGTGGACAGTAAGAGGTCATTTGTATAGGTCATCAATGTATCACTAGGTAATCTGTATAGGTCATTTATATATCACTAGGTCATTTGTATAGGTCATCAATGTATCACTAGGTCATCTGTATAGGTCATCTATATATCACTAGGTCATTTGTATAGGTCATCAATGTATCACTAGGTCATCTGTATAGGTCATCTAAATATCACTAGGTCATTTGTGTTGGTCCTCTATGTATCACTAGGTCATTTGTGTAGGTCATCTATGTATCACAGGTCATATGCGAAGTTTATCAATGTGCCATAAGTCATTTTCAAAGTTTTCTTACATGGTAAGTAATCAAGTGTTCCACCACATAATCCCATATGTGGATAGCATGTCACCAATAATGCGTTGTTATTATGTACCCCTGGTACACCAATCAAGGGTCTACAACATTACCCACTCATCTATTACCCCCACCCCCATCAAGTATCCCATATGGTGATTACCCCCACCCCCTCCAACTATAATAAATGTTATAGGTCAAGTGAGGAACTGCATATTCTCCACACCCCATCCATCCACCTATCCCCCACACCCCCATCCACCCACCTTTTCCCCACACCCCATCCACCGTTTCCCCACAACACATCCACCCCCCAATCCCCCACACCCCATCCACCCACCTATTACCCTCACCCCATCCACCCACAAAACACCCCATGCACCCACCAATTCACCACACCCCATCCACCCACCACTCCCCATCAACCCACCAATCCCCCACCCCTCATACGCCAGCACTACCCACCTCAGCGTCTCCCCTGAACATACTAGACAAAGCGTTGACATTCCTCAGATCTTCCTCCAACTGAGTGATGAGACTCTTCTGCTCCTGCAGGGTCCCGGCTGCCTCCTTGAACTCTTCCTGCAGTTTTTGGACTTGGGCTAGGAGACAATAAACTCAGTGTAGCGCCCTGGGCTCTTTAACTGGTTGGCACTGTGAGAACCATCACACACACCACATACACACAAACTGGTTACATAACACAACACAGCATCCACAAGAAGTGGTTAGATGACAACCCTAAATCCACACAAAGTGGCTAGATCACACATTTATACATATGAATGAAACAGAATAAATAACCAAACTCCTCCACCAACAAAACACAATGACCAACAACACTCCACCAACAAAACACAATGACCAACAACTTCACCAACAACAATACACAATGACCAACAACTTTACCAACAACAATACACAATGACCAACAACACTATGACCAATAAAACACAATGACCAACAACTTCACCAACAACAATACACAATGACCAACAACACTCCACCAACAAAACACAATGACCAACAACTTTCCACCAACAAAACACAATGACCAACAACACTCCACCAACAAAACATAATGACCAACAACAATACACAATGACCAACAACACTCCACCAACAAAACACAATGACCAACAACACTCCACCAATAAAACATAATGACCAACAACAATACACAATGACCAACAACACTCCACCAACAAAACACAATGACCAACAACACTCCACCAACAAAACACAATGACCAACAACACTCCACCAACAAAACACAATGACCAACAACACTCCACCAACAAAACATAATGACCAACAACAATACACAATGACCAACAACACTCCACCAACAAAACACAATGACCAACAACACTCCACCAATAAAACATAATGACCAACAACTTCACCAACAAAACATAATGACCAACAACTTTCCACCAACAAAACACAATGACCAACAACACTCCACCAACAAAACATAATGACCAACAACTTCACCAACAACAATACACAATGACCAACAACACTATGACCAATAAAACACAATGACCAACAAACACTCCACCACCAAAACAACAAAATGACAAAAAACACTCCACCAACAAAACACAATGACCAACAACTTCACCAACAACAAAACACAATGACCAACAACACTATGACCAATAAAACACAATGACCAACAAACATTCCACCACCAAAACAACAAAATGACCAAAAACACTCCACCAACAAAACACAATGACCAACAAATACTTTGACCAACAAATCACAACATTCAACAAGAATAAACTTCACACGTAACATAGTGATCAATGAAGGCTCATAATTCCCCTCTAGTTTTGTTCGACTTTTTTTTATATCAATAGTCTGACCTCTTCTTTTGTATGGATGGGTACAAAAATTGTGCTGGTAAATGATAAAATAGTAAAAAAAAACAATTGTGCTGTTACCTGGGATGGTATAATGATCAACAAAACCTGCGCTGGTAGATGATGGAGTGTTCAAGAAAAAGTTTCATGATGGAATGGTCAACACAAATTATGCTGACAATGAGCTAATGAAATTGACCAACAAGAACAGTGATAGAAAAGAACAGAGACATTTTATTTTTATCTTGCATATTCCTTTATTAACATGAAATAGGCATTAAAAGCACCTAGAACCAAGGTCATAAATGCACTTAAGTTTCCAGGACTAGAGAGAAGAATTAACCTTTTAATTGCAGTCTGGAGAGCCAAAGTGATCCACCTTAATATAAACATGTATAAGCAGATGGATCACTTGAGCTTTGAATAAGAGAGACACATTCCATACTGAAGCCTGGGCTAACATTCAGTTTAAATGTCCAGCTTCAGCATGCATGGTCAATCATATGTAAACACTAATACAATGATTCGATTGGTCAGATATACAAAGATGGAGTTTTGTATTTGAAGTGAATTCTCCAGGTGAGAAAGTCCTTAAACTTGGTGTAGCATGGATGGTTGACCCCTGTGGTAATATCATCAGGTAATCAATTAGTGACAGGTGCATGGGGGTTGACCACTGGTCATTGATGGTAAATGAAGTAACACAGTGTTATTTAAAGCTATGTTCATAACCATAGGACAAAAGGAGATTGAGCAATAGTGAAATGGTGCCAATTTGGAAAAAAAAACTTGTTTTTATCAACATTAGTAATAGTAGCCATTTTGTGTAAGGATGATGGGAAGTGTAGGTTAAAAGGTAATGACAAGGTAAAAAAGATGAAGTTAGATATGGTTTTAAAGCTATCCCAAATACACAGGTGATAAAATGACCAGGTGTTTTCAAAGTTAAAGTCCTGTAAGACCAAAATGTCTTAAAATTTTTTTTTTGTTTGATATGAGTTAAAAACAATTTTGAGGTAACACATCTATTGTTTTGTTACAGATAATTATTTCATCACATAAAAAATATAATAATCAGGTAACTGATGATCAATTCGTTAACTCTTTTAGAAGCAGCTTTCCAAAACAACACAAAAAATGAGCTGTTTTTTTAAATTGATTCAACATTTCAAATTTTAATTCCTTAAAAACTAAATAATTTTAGTTATTAAAAAAACATCAATTCTTGAATAAAAATAAATATCAAACTACTTTTTTTCAAGCTATTTGTAAGATATCTTTATTTTAGAGTTACTCGCTCCTGAAAGAGTTAAAAAGTTGAATCCAGTCCCACAGTTTTGTGATGCCACAAGTCAAATGATTTGTACAACAAAATGACCACCATTAGGACAAGACAAGCAGCTGATAAAACAAGCCACACAATCAAACAACAAATGTTTATTTCCTTCTGTTTTAAAGCACGTCACATGGAGAGTATAAAAATATAGAATATATAAATGTAATAATAATAGCGATAGTAGTGGTAGTTGTAATAGAATATTTGTATAAAATCTTTGGTAGTAACAGGGGTTGGCAATTAGGAAATAAGTGAGCAATTGCCTAGTGGTGGGTTTCATTAAACAACCATTGTAATATCTTTTCAAGTTACCAATTTTATAACAGCTTGGCTAAAAAAAAAAAATTATTTCACTTCGAGAAATCAGTTGGTGGAATATCTGAAGATCTAAAATTCGAAAAAAAAAAATATGGATCATTTTGATATTCCAAAAAAAAAACATTAAAAAAAAAAAAATTTCCCACCAGAAATGAAGGCTTAATGTTGACATATACACCAATATCTTTCTAGTTGATGGTTTTTTTCTGTACATGATAGATGCAAGACTCATCGCACACAGTCACACCAATGCTTCCACCCGACACAAACACACTGAGTGCAATCATGAAAAGTGAGCAAAAACTCCATGAGAAAAAAAAAACACAAGTCAGTTTTACCCAATAACATCAAAAAAAAAAAAAAGACTTCAACACAACTGTACAAAAAAAAAGTTTGTACCAACCCACAAAAAGACAAGGGGCTACAGTAGATCATGCAAGTAACTGCTCCAGGACAGTGGTTCTAAATCTTAGTTCACAGACTTTTTATTGGTGTTCTTTAGGACACCTTTTCAACTGGTTTCTAACATTTTCCATGGTGACATATCTTTTTAATGGTGTTTAAAAACAACGTCATACTGTTTCAAATTTTAAAAATTAAAACTTAGATTATATAAAGTTAAAAAAGTCATACTTTCATGAAAAATTGGAAAAAAAAAATTGTCACCCACAGATATGTAAGTACTGAATATAAATGTATATAGTCATCAATACTGGCACATGTATAATTTTAGAACCACTAGAGCCGGAGCGCATACACAAAAAAATGAACGACAAAAACTAAGGAGTGCTAGGACTCAAAGGGGGCCGAGCTAAAACCTAAACTATTGCAAGGACTACTGCTAGACGCTCTATCAAAGAACCAAAAATTTCTCAACAAGACAAAGGAGTACTCCATTGTTTTGTGTCTACTGGCTAGAAAAGTGAGTACAGACTGACAGCTGAGCAAGAATTGGAATGCTTGTATCCAACAGATCAAACACACTGACTGTATGGATCAACAAAATTTTTATTTTATTTTTTTAAAAACTGAATGTCAGAAATTTTTTTTTTAACAAAGATGATTGAAAAAAACTGGCACTGAATAAAATGTGAGATTCAACTACTGTCCATAAGGTTTTCTACTAAGTTTGCATTGGTATCCTACTGCCAGAGAGGATAGGGTAACATGTGTTCAAGGCACAACTGACGCAACAAGTCCATTGTACAGGTACAACCTACTATAGTCTCTAGCTCTTTTGGATTTAGAAACAAAAAAAAATAAAAATAAAATCCTTTCTGGCAATGGAAAATAAAAAAAGTGAACCCAAGGATGTAAAAATCTCAGGGCAACTGTTGTGATCGAAATATGTACCACAAAGTATATAAACAAAGTCTGGGCTTAAAGGGAACCAATCAAAGACTGGTAGAGGCCTTCTGTAGGCTTAAGGGGGACAACTGGTTAAAACATGAGCAGACTTAAAGATGGTGAGAACAAAGTAATAAAAAAAATCATATCTCAGTGAAAGAAACAATGTGTACATTCAAATAATCTTTGCCACTGGTTAAAAAAAAAAATATTGTTTAAAAATGTATAGAGTATGTAAGTATTATGGTAATATAGACAGCTGACTGTGGTACCATCACACTGACAGATCTAACAGCAGATTCTGGGGGGGGGGGGGGGGACACTGACCAACGGCTGACTGAGAGGGGGAAGGGGCGCGGCACTGATAAAAAAAGCTGACGAGGGGAGCCTTACAGAGGGCTGCACTGACAATCAAACAGCTGCGTTAGTACCCCTACAAATTAAAAAAGCTCACTCTAGCCACCCCCACCCCGGGTCAGACCAAACTCCCCCATCTCTCACCCCATCACTAACAAATCAAATGAAACATAGTAAAAAATAAAGTTTACAGGACTGTAAGTGTCAAAGTAGATTATGTACAAATCTTTACATGTTGGTTATATGCAAACATACTGGCATCTCTTATAGAGTTATACAAAATAATATGCGCAAAATAAAAAATTTCCAATTATAATTACTGGATAATGTAATATACACATAGCTTCAGGCTAGTTTCATACAAATTTATAGAAGCAGGCATTATATAAAGGAGAAAAATTAAACAAAAATACATTTTTTTCCATTTTAAATGATACAAAAAATCGTGCCTTAAAGAGCCATGAAATATATATAAAAAATAGAAGACAGTCAACAGGTAAATGAGTTGATCAAAGTGCATGCAACAAAATCTGGAATAAAAACACAGTAATCAACACATGAACACAAGCTTTAAAAAAAGAAACTGAATAAATCACGTCTTTCTACATTGGGGTGTAAGCCTGGAGAGGTGGAAAAAACTTGCATTAACAATGAATAGTACTAGTGTTTCAAAAAGTACACCCATCAAAAGTGTGAGTCTTTCATAGAATAATTATAAAAAGTATTAGTACTCCATAAATTAATAGAAGACACTAACATTTTCTCACTAATTAATAACTATGGAAATTCTAGTACGCCAATATATTTGACAATCAAAGCAAATTTTTCAAATCAGTTTAAAAAAAAACCCACCAATTTTGCCCTATTTAAAAATAAGTTGAATGATGACTTAATTACAATATGGCATATTAAATTTGACCTAATTAGAAGTTGAACTATTATCAATATGATAATAACTTAAACAGATCTCTCAACGGCGATGCACATTTAAGTGCATGAGAAGCCCGGTGTAAAGAAGAACATTGGAGCCTAGAACACAGTGGTCTCAATGATAAAACTGGTAGGAACACAGTGGTTCAAACATGGAACACAGTTAACAAATCTCGCAGTATCTATTAAATGCTAGCCTAACTGGCACACTCAGATTTCATAGTCGCAGATCTTAATTATAATACAAAAAATTTAGATTTTTAAGTGTTAAAACCTACATTCGATTTAACAATATTAACCTGCAACTTTAAAAATGCTTGAAGTTTCATTAAAACGCTGAGTAAAAATTTGGTTAACAACAAGATGAACACAAGAAAAATAGCTAAGTTCAATATTTAAACCATTGACTTGATGAACACATTTTCTTTTTATTTTTGTATAGAAATTCTTCAGATTTATTGCACCTAAGCAATAAAAAAAAAGTGCTAACGTTGACACAAAAAATGTCTTACTTTGGGAGGGAAGGTGCCTCCAAGTCAGAATATTAATGAACAGTTATGTCCCTTATAAATGGACAGTGATGTCCCTTTCATGTTAGCCCCTGCCAGTTATATAGATTGAATTAAGGCACAAAGCAGGGGTAACTCATTACATCAGATCCAAATGTAAACAAATCATTAAAAAAATGAAACTACTTCCTTAAAATGAAAACAAATAAAAATATTAAAAAAAGTAGGTTGAACTGCGGAGTATTCCGCTTGAACACATCAACAGCAAAGCAAACAAAAATTGCACACAATCAAGCACCAAATGGGTTGAACACATTAGTCAAAAGCTACAAGAAACACTACAATATTTGGGGATGATCTATCTCAAATACAGGGTGATACTACAAGAACCACTACAATATTTGGGGATGATCTCTCTCAAATACAGGGTGATACTACAAGAACCACTACAATATTTGGGGATGATCTATCTCAAATAAAGCGCGAGGTGTAAGTTTAAAGGGGGACCTGAAATCTCAACAGTGATCAAGGTCAAATTCACTAGTTCTAATAACATTGGGTAACTAGATAATGGTTGTTTTTAAACCATCACATTCCCATGTTCTATCTACAAAAACAGGTTAAGATCAAACCATGAAATTCAAATAATCTAGCTAGAAAGGTGGTTTACATGAAATCACACATTGCCAATATTCTAGCAAGAAAACTGGTTTGAATGAAATCACACATTGCCAATAATCTAGCTAGAAAACTGGTTTGAATGAAATCATACATTGCCAATAATCTAGCTAGAAAACTGGTTTGAATGAAATCACACATTGCCAATAATCTAGCAAGAAAACTGGTTTGAATGAAATCACACATTGCCAATAATCTAGCTAGAAAACTGGTTTGAATGAAATCACACATTGCCAATAATCTAGCTAGAAAACTGGTTTGAATGAAATCACACATTGCCAATAATCTAGCTAGAAAACTGGTTTGAATGAAATCACACATTGCCAATAATCTAGCTAGAAAACTGGTTTGAATGAAATCATACATTGCCAATAATCTAGCTAGAAAACTGGTTTGAATGAAATCACACATTGCCAATAATCTAGCTAGAAAACAGGTTTGAATGAAATCATACAATCCCAATATTCTAGCAAGAAAACTGGATTAGATGCAACCATAAAATGCCACTAATCTAGCAAGTGAAACAGTAAAGGATGAGAAACCATGCTCTGCTAGTAACAAAATCAGGGCCAGCAAGAACATGGCAGATGAGTGTGACGTAAAGGAACACTTTGTGGAATGCTGTTGTTTTCATTGTTTTCAAGAGCTAAGATGGACAAAAAGAGGAATAGAAAAAAAAAAAAGAAACAACTGAGCTGAGCCATGCTACGGATACACAAGTGGACTGATAGAATTTTTTTTTCTATCCTTGAAATGTAAGAAGCAAGTCAACAACAACAACAAAAAAAAAAAAAAATAAACAACACATTTGCTGCCTTGTAAAGCTTCATAAAGAATCTGTCAAGCCAACCTGAATGAACAAGAAAATGTTTTGGCATAATTTCATAACCCAAAGAAAAAAGCACGGACAAGCCTTATGCAGAGAGTAAAACACCGCCGGTGTGAGGAAGGCAAGCTTTGAGCCACAGCTAGAGACTATGTACAAAACTCTACCGCCAACAATCATGGGGTAGCAAGATCACTTAGGTAGTAATACTTTTAGGGCTGTGCGCTCCTCAATCATCATAACAAACAGCATTAACAAAGGTCCAAAGGGAAAGCTGGACAACTGTACAGGGAAGGTAGAGGAAAAATAAAACCCATTCAACAGTAGATAGTGGCTGTACTCATGGCAACAAATATACAGGAGAGGTCGCGGACCCAGCTCCGGCATTTAACTATATACACAAGAAGTGAATTATTTCAAGAGACTGCAGGGGAAGCCTGCAGGGTAAGAGTGGTGCCTTAGAGATAAGTGATCAATGGGAGACCACGCCAGGAGATTCAAAATTTTGGGCAGATCTGCCATGGCAGAAAATGGGGCAGGGGGACAACATAATGTAACAATACTCTGGTCCTCAGTTTTTAAAATAAAAAATTCAATAAGAAATGAGCATGCATATTGTAGGTGAACTTTGTGAACTCCCCGGTGTGCTTGAACAGTTCGTTGTTTATACACAATTAAACATTGGTATATGGTTATATATATATTTATATCTATGTATAGGAGTATGTCAGTGAAGAACTGGAACCAATGAAAACTGTCACAAAATTTCCCAGTCTTCATCTGCAGAGTTGTTGTCGAGATGTTTCTGAATCTTCTCTATGGAAGACATGGGCTCCCCGTCCTCCTCGTCCCAGTGTTCCACTGATGACTTGATGCAGTTCTCCATTTTTTCTATTTTCTCTATCCTGTACACTGGCTTGCTGGAGCTGCTACACGCCCCACCCCCAGCGGATGATGGACCATGATCCACACTCTGCTCGCCATTGCCGTTCATCTCACTGTGGAGGCTGGCGCCGCTTTTCCTGCCGGTCTCATCCTGGTGAGCACTCAGCTCAGCCGCTTCATGAATGGTCTCAGAGCTACTGGCGCCAAATGTCCGGTCCAGCTGCGCTCCCTCGTAAACCCTCTGTGGGTTGGAGCGTTTCCGCTTGTTGACGCTAGCCGCTCCGTTACTGGCGCTGGTTGATGACGACACAGCCGTGCTTTCAGAACTCGGCTGTTTCGCTGCATCAACACTCCTCTCACGCCGCCACTCCTCTCCTTCATTCTCCCCATCCGGACCATCCTTCTCTTTCAAATTGTTATTATTATTACTAGGGACCGTATCCAATCCATCCGGCTCATCCATCTCATCATCATCATCTTCCATCCCTCCATGGTTCTCCTTATTGTCCTCCCCGTCGTCGTTTAAAGGCACTTTATTCATAAGTGTCATGGGCTCAAACTGGGGGAACATCCACTGGTTCAGGTCCGTCGGGGTCACCCCACCGTGAAAGAACTGACTGCCCGGCAGCGCGGAGCTGACCTCACCGGACATGCTGGAGATGTCGCTCTGGTTGGAACTCTCGTCAGGCTCGGACTTGATGTTGGACTCACTGCCAGGGTGGTGCTGCTGCTTGGCTCGCATGCGGTGGTTGTGGAACCAGTTGATGACCGTCTTCACCCCCACGTTCAGGTTCTTGGCCAGAGATTCGATGGTGCTCTGGTTGGGGTAGGGGTCCTGTGCATAGGCTGATCTCAGGGAGTCTTTCTGGTCCTCGGTGAAGAAGACCCTGGGACGTTTGGGCTGGGTCGGTGAGTCAAAGTTGCGGTCTTCCATGCTACTCTTACGACGTCTGTGAGCTGAAACAAAAAACAAAATGTTAAGCATTTTACAAGTGCATCAGGATGACAGCATAAAAATAAACATCATTTTTATTACTTAAAAACAATAAATAAATAAAATTGCAAAAAATGAACAGCTGTTTCTTGAATTTTTTCTTCCTCAAATTAAATTAAATTAATGTTTTAAAAAAAAAGCATCTACTATTGAAGTTCAGAGAAAATTAAAACAATTTTTCTGCAAAAAATAAAATTAATGAATATAAAATAATTTAACTTTAGTTTTCTTTAACTGAAGTCTAGCATTGAAATAAAAAAACACCAAAAACTGATGTTAAAGTTCTGGTAATGAGCATACAATAGAGCAGAGACATGCCAGACACAGGGTGCAGAGTACAGTCAGTTAAGCTTGTTATTTTAGCCTGCTGTTTAATAGGTTCCATAGTGTAGCCTGCTGCTTCATATCAACTAGATTATATATTTAAACCTACAGTTTAACAGTAACTAGATTCCATATTTAAGCCTGCTGTTTAATAGTAATAAGAATTCATATTTTAAAAAAAATAAACCTATGCCTTTATTTGTTTTGCTAAGTTGTAAAACAAAGTAGCTGCTTTCTGTTTGATATCTGACCCTATCAATAACCATTTTTACTGTAGCAACTCTCCTAACATAAAGTTTACCAAGTGCTAACTCTGTCTTATAAATAACCTACTTTTTATGCCACAATCGTCACTATTTTATTTTGTTTTTCCCAAGATAACATATGTAGAAATAAATGTCACTAATATATGTTGTTTTCCCAAGATTAAATATGTAGAAATAAATGTCACTAATATGTTGTTTTTCTCCAAGATAAAATATAAAAAAATAAATGTCACTTAATATATTTTGTTTTTCCCAAGATAAAAATATGTAGAAATAAATGTCACTAATATATGTCTATTTCCCAGGATAAAATATATAGAAAAAAAAGAACAGATTTACAAACACTTTACAAAGAAAGAAAAAAAGATTCACCCCCCCCCCTCAACTCCCCCCCATGTTGCTGATGAGATAAATGTCTCTCAACAACATGACAGTAAACAACACCTGACAACATATTGTAAAAAAAAAAAAGCAACAGCAACAATAAAAAAAAAACAAGAGCACCAAGTAACGTCAAGAAATTAAATGAAAACATACTAAGAAGTTCAGTGTAGTCAAAGAAGTTTGAGAGCCAGCTGTGATCTTCAGGGGAGCAAAAAGAAAAGAAAAAAAAAAAAAAATAACTAACACAATGGGTCACATCATTGAGAGGTGGCATATCAATTCTAATACGGAGCTAACGTGTTTACCACTGCGTTATTATTTCAGTAGGCTTATGCTATGATACATGGGTTTAGTTATTAGTGGCACCACAATGCTGGGATGGTAGAGGCACGTACAAAAAAGATGAAACAATAACATAATGCTGTTAAAAGAGTTGACAGGTGGTACTGTAAAACAGAGCTGCCGAGTTGGCCTGGGTCTACATGCAAGTCCCAGACCAGACTTGATCAGCTCCGTCCTACAGCAGCGCTAACCCTGGGCATAAGACTATCATTAGCAGTGTTACTATGGTTAAGGTAAGACTTCAAGGCAAGTTAATGGTTAACTGATCTGGCACTGTTTGGCCTTGAGTATATATAAATAGTAGTTACATATAGATAGCATTGTCATATATGGACAGGTTTTTCTTTCTATACCCAAAGTAAGAGGTGAAGCTGAATTTTCTTGGATATATTTTAAGTATAGAAATGACAGTAGTGGCATGACCAGAGGCTTATTTTATTTTAATTTTTTCTACGATGATAATCAGAAAATAAAATTACAGCAAACTGGAAAAATGTTGTATATTATGGTATGTTTTAAAAAAAACAACTGATGAGGTTAAACATCGGGTCAGCCACACAAACTGAGCGCAGTCAAAGCCAACCAGAGAGGTGAGGCTGGCAGGAGGAGTACACTGGGTTACATGGCGGTGTAGGGCAGGCAGCGAGCTGGATCTGGGTAGCGCCAGCGAGACACCACCTACCTTTCATGTGAGTCTGATAGAGTTTTAGGTGCTCCACGTTCTGGGGGTCGCCAAGCCAGAGGTGCATTTTGATAAAAGGCTCGCGGCCTTTGATGCTTAGCATGTGCCAAGGCTTGGGTTTGGAGAGCAGCTCTGATACAGAGCCTTGGGAGAGGCCTAGAACAGCTTCCCCAAACAGCTTCTGGCCCAGATTGTGGAACTGAAGAACATCCTTCACCTTTGAGGTAAGGGACAGGGTGTCTATTTCTGATGCCATGGCTATGACTTCCAGCATAGAGGGGGGGTAGGCAAATGTGCCCCAGACTCTCTGGAGCATGGCGGAGTCGGCAGCGAGAAGATGGTCGTGGGGTAGCCCTGCTGGGCCCAGTCCAGGGGGGAGGGAGGGCGGTAGTAGGGGCAGTGGCCCAAGACGGCCCACGGCTGATGTAGGGGTGGTGGGGGATGGGAGGATTGGGGAGTGGGGGAGGGAGTGAGGGTGTGGTGGTGGGGGCGGTGGAGGTGGTGGGGGGTAGTGCCGGGGTGTAGACAATGACGGTGGTGATTGAGATGAGGGTGGGGAGGATGGGGAAGCTATGGAGCACTGTGAGGGGTGGGAGAAGGCCAGTGAGAGAGGTGGTGGCTGTGAGGCTAGGAGAGGAGGAGGAGGTGCTTGTTGCTGCTGCGATGGCAGAGAGCTGCCCTGACTACGAGATGGAGCAGGCAGATCACAAGGGGACTCTAAGAGAGGAAACAAGAAAACTAAAGGAGAAGAGGCTCATCAATGTCAAATCACTAACTAAGGGAGGTAAACATTCAATGAGTTGAGCCATGCTTGGACACATCCATTTAGAATTCAGTTTAATACAGAATCATCAAAAAAAAAAAATTTGGATTCAACTACAGTTTTATCTCATCCAAATATCTAAGCAAAAAAATAAATAAATTAAAAATGAACAAAATTATAAAAAAAGGTTGAAATAAAAATTTTGTGAAGTTTAATATGCAAGTGTATCAAGGCATAAGCACCATGCAACTCTAGTTGATTCTGCCGATAATCTTCAAACTGTGGTTATGAAACTATCCCGTTAAGATATTTATATCTAAAAAATTATTACTGCATGGGTCAACTCAAAGTAATAAACAAAATGTTTAAATTTGAAGGAATGAAAAAATATTTTGGGGAGCTAAAAAAAAAAACTGGGTTGTAAATGGGGAGAAAATTCTGCAGTGAAAAAAATTATGACAAAAGTAGAGATGAGCCTAATTAACCCTAAAAAAACTTTTGTCAAATTTAACTTTCATTACAACATTTAAAAAAAAAATCCGCTCCATCGTTTGTATGAGGAGTCGCCTTGCACAAACTATTTTTAATTTAGCTGAGCACTCTATGTTGATAAAAAATGACTGTAACCACCAAATCGATTATATCTACTCTGTTAAAGACTACAAACATAAAAAAAAACCTGTTCACCAGATTTCAGCATTTCTTTTTAGTAATCTATCTACTATCTACATTAAAAAATAACTTGATCTGGCAAGCGAGAGGGTACTCTTGACTTGCTGACCAACTGCGAGCTAAGTAAAACAACAACACTAACAACAGAAAAAAAACAAAACTAGTAAATAGCATACCATACTCTAGAAGTGCATTGAAAAAAAAAAACAAGTTGGATTTATAGAGATTAAATCTAAGATGAAATGCCTAGCTGCACTAAACCTAGCGATGACTCAAAGAATGAAAGAAAAAAAAAATAAGCTAAGGTACCAGTGAGCACAAAACCCAGCAACTAACTAGCCCAGAGTTCACCCAAAAGTTGGCAACTAAAAAAAAACGTTGACTACAAAAATGTCAGGGTGACCCACCTGGTTCATTAGATCCTCTGGAGCTGGACCTCATCAACTTGTCTGGAGGGATGCGGTACTGGGACGCCACCAACTTCGGGATGGAATCAGCATCTTCTAGAAAGATCTGCATCCTGATAAAAGGTTCTCTTCCCTTCTGGGTGAGCATGTGCCATGGTTTGGGTCTGGCCAGGAGGTCTGAGACCGAGCCCTGGGACAGGCCGAGGACGCTCTCACCAAACAGTCTCTGGCTGATGGAGTACTGGGACAGGGTCTCTTTCACCTTCTTCACCAGCTCGTCCGTGTTCATGTTAGCGTAGCGGTCAAACTCCTCCTGGGTGATGGGCGGGAGCACGGCTCTCAAGGGCTTGGCGTTTGGCATCCCCGCGTTGGGACGGGAGGTCAAGGAGTTTGCTATGTTTTGCATGCGCTGCAAGGGGGAAAGACACTCTGCAGGCGGCACCGACCCGTAGCGTGGCCCGCCGGCTGACCCCTGCTGTTGCTGGGTCGGGGTCAAAGGGCTGCTGTCAGAGTCGTGGCCGTTGACCCGAGGACGTACGAGAAAAAAGGCACTGCCAGCGTGTCTGCCCGTCTCGCTGCTGGGCGACGAGCCCGGGGTGGAGCCAGACTGAGACGAGGGCTTGCTCAGGTCGATGGCGCCGTAGTTGTTTACCTGAGATGCCGTCTCCTCCGACGTGCTGTCTGGTGGCTCGGTTTTAAGGTTCAGGCCATTGGGCCGTGTGGAGCGACAATCTAAAGCTAGAGGTGATGGCTCTGGACTCTCCCTGCCAGGAGGGGTGGGAGGGGAGCAGTGATGGTGCCTGGATGATGATGATGAAATATTCTGTGGTGTGTTAAGGCGACTTAGTTCCTGTGCATACATGGCACTGGCGGCAATGTTCCCCGCTGCGTCCGCTGCACTCTTCAACTTCTCCAGTTCCTGGCGGTAGATCCTAGCCACCATTTCCTGGGCCGAGGCCGCTTCATCCTGCGACGATGAGGACGAATGATGTCTCGAATCATGGTCTCGTATTTTTCTAGAGCCTTCGCGGGGGTAGTGCGGGCCATTCGAGAGTGAGGAAGGGGGCATTGTGGGTGACATCATGGTGAGGCCAGGAGGGGCGCCGCCCATCTTGGACAGCTCGTGGTGGTAAATGCTGGACACAACAGCATTGGCAACCTGCTGCTGCAAGGCAGCCAGTTAAAGAGAAAACAAGAATCAGTTAATAGAAAGACAGTTGATCTTATCTCTTCTACTGTCCTAAGCTAATTAAAAGATAATTAAAAAGTACTAATTAAAAAGTATGTAATACAAGTATTTATTTTAGCTAATATCAATACTCCGTGAACTTAATCCTAACCCCACAGTATCAATTGCAGTAAAACCCTACAAAACATATTGATTCTGTCTGAATTTTTTAACATCATTCATCTACCCATGATTCTTTTATATTAAATCTGACAAGCATTTAGTTTAAGTTAACATATCACTTCCCCAGAACCAGACAGATATAGCTCAATTTTTAATTTTTTTAGATTTATACACTTAAATTCATCAAAGCATTATGATAAAAAAAGCATGGCAGAATTAATCCCATACTGTTATTATACAACTATTCATCTTTTTACCGATAATATAGAGATATTAAGGAAAACACAAATTTAAACTCTTATGAACAGTTTGGTTCTGGGAAAGCTATATACTGCAGGCAATAACTAATATATTTATACTGAGCATATTTATAACAGTATGTGCAGCAAGTATGTAGTAAGTACCTGTTCAAGACTTTTCTTCATATGCATGGCTACCTGAGCCTCGTTGAGAATATTGGCAATACGTTCTTCTGTAACTGAGTCTTCTTTTTCCTTGTAGGAGTTATTTGGGGTCAGAGGTTGGGTACCTTTAAAAAATGAATGTGGGGAGAGCTTTGTCACATGAAGAGCTTAAAAAAATAATTGGGGAAAACATTAGTGGAGAGAAATGTGGGTAAAATACATGATTATTGGCAGAAATTTCTTGACCCAGTCTTTCATCTTTTTTTTTGGTCAGTTTAATATAACTTGAATAAATAGTTTTTTTTAGTTATGCTTAATTAGGAAATTGCATGCAAAATAAGTTAGCAAAGTTACTAAAATAATTTGTTTTAACTTCATTAGAGTAAGTCATGTAAACAAAAAATAAAAAATTGTAAAAATATTTTTAAATTTAGAAGAAAAAAAAAGTTGTATTTACCTTTCTTTGGTGAAATAGCTTTTAACGCCATGATATTGGCCTCATCTGTTGCCCAGGCGTGCATCTTCCTGTAGGACTCTCTCCCCTTCTCTGTCAGCTTGTCCCAAGACTTTGGCTTAGAGAGTAGTTCACTGACTGTTCCTTGGCTCAAGCCAAGGACATGTTTAGCAAAAAGTCGCTGCCCTATATTGTGAATGCTAAGCAGTTCTCTAACAGTTTTAGCTACATATCCAGTGTCAAGCCCCCCGGATGATGTGTTCACCTCGGATTTGACCATGTTGAGTGGTAGAAATGCCGGGTGGAAGGGGCTGCCGGGGAACCCATAGAATGGTGACATGGGGGGTGCGAAATGCCGAGGGTCAATGTGCGAGTGGAGGGCGATGGGCGACTGAGGCGGTATGCTGTTGGTATGGGGGGTCTGCGATGGCGTTGGGATATCAGGCGACAGTTTACAGTTTGTTGTGGGTGAATGCCGACCAGATGAGGGCGTGCTGGGCATTCTGTACATGTTCATGACAGAGTCAGCTCCTGACATGCTGGCGTAGGCCTCAGGGGTGGAGGCAGCGTGCTGGGGTGTGGCGCGGGGGGTTGAAGACGCAGGTGACGGAGCCTCCTGTTTGATGGTGGCTGCGCTGACGACCGGCGGGGTACAGCTGCCGTGTAGGCTCATACCAGACATGGCTGATCTGCCTGGCGTCATGTCGGATGGTCCGATGTGGGAGGATCTGCTCAAGTTTGTGGGCGACACAGCCAGGGTCAGGTTGGTTGGGGGCGAGGCGGCTGCTGAGGTTGTTGTCGGTAGCAATGATGATTGGGATGAAGATGATGAAGACATCATTGATGAAGACCGTTCATACTTTTTGGTGGTGCTGGTTGTGGTAGTTGGGAGGTGTAGGGTGGTTGTGTTGTCTGCAACAAGAAAAGGTGTAAAACGTTCATGATAGAGCCTGACTCTATGGGATCATAACACTCACAATTTACTAGCTTTCACTTAGCCTCAGTCAAGTTATATATTATTTGATACAAAATAGTCTTTGACAAATTTATTTTGTTTACAAGAGAAAATAACTTGAATATGAAAGATAGTTTTCATGCAGAAATTACAGCTCTCACCAGCCGGCAGAAAAATACAAAACACATAACATTGAGTTAAAGCCAAAATATAGAAACAACACAGCAATTCTGAGGGGGGTCAGTGCGCCGTAGCATGCAGCACACTGCCCAGCCCAACTGGCCCCTAGCTAGTTCTTCACTCATGGACGTTTTACACCTTTACTGGGGCATTCAACATCCACTACACCCTTCACACCACCAAAAAAAAAAAAACCCTAACCATCGTATTTTTTTAAACACCACATTATAGGAAATCATTGAGACATAAATTAACAAAATTAATATGAAATAAAATTAATAATATTTTGTGATCAATTATTTTACAGTCAAATCTTATCCCAAAAAAAATATTTTACACAATCTTTTATAAAAAAAAAACAATTCATAAAAATGAACCTATTAATGTTCAAAGTATGAAATAGATAATACAAAAATCAAGGCAATGGTTAACAAACATCGAGAAAAGTCAAAAGGAAACAACAACTTAAGTAAATAATCATATCAATAAGACTATAGTTGAAAAATTCAATGATAAATGGATCTCAACAACACCCGTGATGAATGAGGAGGCAGCGATGAAAAGGATGATAATGTGAACAGGTGTAAGGATATTGCCTTTCCTAGCCAAGGATATTTGTTTCAATGTTTCTTAAAACGAACCTGATTTCCTTGTTTTGTGTATGTCGCCTAAAAAACTTTCCTACCCAGCACTACGTAGAGCCTTCATTGAGCACATGACAGTGACAACAGCAGACAGACGACACTGAAAGGTTCCAGACTTACCTGTCAGGCCAGAGTTGACCACCTTCAGGTGTGTGTTCTCTGTCTGTAAGCTTTTGTTTTTCTCCAGCAGCAAGACTTCCAGAGATTTGCTCTCTTCTGGAACCCCATCAGATGAGTAGGCGTTGGCAAATTCTATAGACTTCAGTACCCTGAAAAAATATTGTTTCAATATTAGACTATATGATTGCTAAACTAACAGTGAAATCAAGGGACAATATTTTTATAGTTATGGCCCTGTATAGACACATTCAGCAACCACAGGTACACTTTTCTGTATAAAACGTCTCCATCACTTTTCTCTATATAAATGTATACGGGAGGCTTCCACTCATGACGTAAATCATGACATACAGTGAGGGTAATAACAAATATTATATCTCTGTAACCCCCTCCCTCGCAGCCACTGAGTGACCATACCTCAGCTCACGCTTGACCTCCTCGTAATCCTCCTGTGTCCTCAGTTTCTCCTCCAGAGCACGGAATGCCAGATTTTTTGTTGTAAGCTCCTCCTCTAGTCGAGCCACCTGCAAATAAAATTTGACTTTCAGTAAAGTACTAGGCCATTACACATTGTACAGAACAATGTAAACATGTGTTGACTTTCAATCTAGTGCACTATACATAGTACAGAAGTACAAGGCTGATTCAGTCTTCAACAGCAAACAATGGACACACAGTTTCAGTATGTCAGACAACAGGATTGTTGAGTTTGTTGTGTGTGGTGTGTGTGTGTATGTGTGAGGTGTGGTGTGTGTGTGTGTATTGTGAGGTGTGGATGCGTAAGACAGAAGACTGACCTGGGCTGATGTTGACTCCCTGAGTTTGTTGAGTGTGGTGTGTGTGTGGTGTATGAGGTGTGGTGTGTGTGTATGTGTGAGGTGTCGTGTGTGTAAGTGAGGTGTGGTGTGTGTGTGTTTGTATGTAAGACAGAAGACTGACTTGGGCTGATGTTGACTACCCAAGTTTGATGAGTGTTGTGTGTGTGTGAGTAAGACTGACCTGGGCTGACGTTGACTCCCTGAGTTTGTTGAGAGAGGCCTGCAGTCTCTGGACATCCTCCACCAGCTGTGCAATCTGTGGACACAGATACATAACCACATAACATCACACATAACACACACAGTAATATCTATAGAACCACATAACATCACACATAACACACACACACATACATGCAGGTATATCTATAGAACTACATGACATTGCGCACATACACACAGGTACATTTACAGAACTACAGTACATACTTCTCACACACACACACACCTACACACACGCATGCAAGTACATCTAGAGAACAACGGTCTTCTTTGAATCTCACAAAAATACATCAAGAGAATGAAGATCTTCATCATCATCTCACAAATATGAAACAATAGAACAATGATCCAAGTTGACAACTCATCTACTACAAAATAGACCTATACAACAGAGAACACTAATCCTCTCTGACTCACACAGTATTGAGCAACATACAAGCTCACCCTGACCCCACAAAAAAGGAAAACAAACCTACAGATACAACCAATAATGTGTTGCAGATCAATAAAAGTAATCAATAACAAAAGCCATAGATCCCTTAAGTCACAGCTGGGCTGGGAAATGCAATATTGGAAACCAATCGCTGACAGGAAAATCACGCTATGAAATCCACTAAAACATTATTTTTTTCCACGTCAAACTTTAGAAGCACCATCCACCTCATCCAAGGCAGCAAAGCTATTAATTTCAACATATTGATTTGTTCGTTAATAGCTTCATTAATCATTCACGACTTCTTGAACCAATCTATGACACTTCATTAGCTAACTGATTGAAATTGGAAGAAAAAATAAGGAGAGCCTCCAGTCTCACCTAAAGTAAATATTTTCAAAGATGCTGAGAGAAGCAACTAATCAGTGTTCATTCATTCAAAGCTACAACGATCTATTGTTTTATCATTTCTACATCTAATGAATAAACCCATGAGTTAATCAATTAAAACAATCACAGGATAAACACACAGACCTAATTACATTGAGCTTTTACTGCAATGCCCACACGTAACATCTAAAAATAACTCAACTTAAATTAAACCTACACGAGCCAGTGACTAAATATTATGGCAAGCCTATAATTGTAAGTAAGGATGTCAATCATTTTAGTATTAGCCAGCCCCTAAAGTATAACACTAGACACGCCCATTAATTGGAGGATCACTGCTTAATGGATCAATAATTGCAGTGCTAGTCCATGATTCAAGCACTAGATAAGCCCATGGGTATAGCACTAGATAAGCCCATGGGTATAGCACTAGATAAGCCTATGGGTATAGCACTAGATAAGCCCATGGGTATAGCACTAGATAAGCCCATGGGTATAGCACTAGATAAGCCTATGGGTATAGCACTAGATTAGCCCATGGGTATAGCACTAGATAAGCCTATGGGTATAGCACTAGATTAGCCCATGGGTATAGCACTAGATAAGCCCATGGGTATAGCACTAGATAAGCCCATGGGTATAGCACTACATAAGCCCATGATTGTAGCACTAGATAAGCCCATGGGTATAGCACTAGATAAGCCCATGGGTATAGCACTAGATAAGCCCATGGGTATAGCACTAGATAAGCCCATGGGTATAGCACTAGATAAGCCCATGGGTATAGCACTAGATTAGCCCATGATTGTAGTACTAGACTACAGTGACTATAGCATCACATAAACCATTCCAAGAGTGTAACACTAAATAAGCCCTTGATTGTAACAATAGATAAGCCCAGGGGTATAGCACTAGATAAGCCCATGATTGTAGCACTAGATAAGCCCATGATGGTAGCACTAGATAGGCCGATGATTGTAGCACTAGATAGGCCCATGATTGTAGCACTAGATAAGCCCATGATTGTAACACTAGATAAGCCCAGGGGTATACCACTAGATAGGCCCAGGGGTATAGCACTAGATAGGCCCAGGGGTACAGCACTAGATAAGCCCATGATTGTAGCACTACATTTGAAGAGCAGCCACCGAGTGCCACACAAGAGCAGCCAGTGACCGTCTGACCCTCACAGCGCCTGACCCACAGAGCGCCTGACCCTCACAGCGCCTGACCCTCACAGCGTCTGACCCGCAGAGCGCCTGACTTACTTCCTTCTCCTTGGCAGCCAGCTCCACCTCCTGTGACGACCTCTTGAAGCTGTCCATGGCCTGGTCGGGGTCGGAGCTGTGCTGTGACCTGACCAGCTCCGCGTGCTGGCTGTAGCTTTCTATCTGGGCAAGCTGCTGCTTTAAGCGCTCAGCTTGTCTCTCTGCATTAGCAGCTCTCTGCAACAACAAAAAACAGTTCAACACCTCAATACCAACAGGTTCTCACGTATGCACACCGCTTCCCACCAACCACCTACATTATTCAAGACAAAAATCTTTAAATCTACCCAAGAATGGAGCTGGGATACACCAGGAGGGAAATCTATTAGGAAACACTGTGGAAATTAATCTTCTGACCTACTAACCTCATTAGCCCTATCCAGATCAGCCATTACCATCTCCATCTCATCAGACCTGGGAGAAAGAGTGGGATTGACAAATATGAATAAATAATGCTCTTTTAATGGTGCTTTCATCTCCCTACAACATGGAGCAGACCAGACAATGGAGCATTCTGTGGACATTCAATCCATCAGATTCATACAATCACTGCCACTCAGGAGATCTTTTTTTTTTTATGCCATGACATCAAGGAATGACAAACTTCAACACAAGAAAACCACAGATGGCATCAGGTCATGTGATACCATGACATGTCATCTGGTAACAGTGTTACCTTACATGTCATCTAATTACATGATGTAGGAAACAAATGTACTCTAGTAAGGTAATGTTAAAGTAACAGATGACATCTAGTAAGGTGTTACAAGGAACAGATGATATTAAGTAAAAGATGACATTTAGTAAAGGTGACAGAGGAAACATGACAAGTGAGGTGACATGACATTTAGTATGGTCATTCAAGGTACAAATGACAGTCTTATGACATACATTTATAAACGTAATACAAGGAAACATTTACTAGGCAAAAAGTTCTGCTGCATGAAAATTGCCAGTGTTATATTACAATGTCAATTTTCTAGAAAAAAAAAACAACCACATTTTTATTTATTGTTTTCTTATTATTGTTTCTTTGCAACAAAAATGAATACATTATTTTGTAAATCAATTATTAAAATTGTAAAACATATGCAATCTTTTTAAAAATTTGAAAGATTATTAAAAAGTCACCCAATTCTTACACATCTTTGTAAGTTAAGTCTACTCAAGTAAAACGTTACAATTTTGATATGTCAGGGATGGAGATTGATATCAATATTTCACTGACTTTGAACAATTCCACAGGTATAACAATTTGAGCCACACAGGTAAAGAAGTGAGGGGGGGGGGGGATGTGGGGAATAATTAATGTTGATTTATGTTGATTGATAATTTCTTAGCTAGCCAGGGCAGACTGTGACAAGAATACCAAATGAAGCCGAGGGTTGGAAGACAATAAAGTTGGTGGTGGACAAGGGGGGATAAGTGGACGGTCCCGGGATAACCCGGGGAAAGAGAAAAACAAGCCCCGCACTGTGGCGTGTTGTGAGCTCTAGGTGCAAGAGGGGAGGGAATTATGGAGGAATGATGGCTTGATTTGGGCGGAGTGACATGTGAACACTACTCATTGTCTCCCTTCAGATCTATTTATAATCACCACCAGTCATGCCAATGTCACTGTAATTAATCAACACTGCTAGGGGGAGGGAGGGAGGGAGAGGAGATGGGGGATGGGGAGGTAAGGGGTGCTGGTTACATATGTAAGGGATTTGATTATCTTCCAAGGAGACACAGGGAGAAGAAAGTTAATGGCCCGCTGAGAGAAAGTTGACAAGATGCATATATTTGTACCAGCGGGCTTACAGCGGTGCCCAAGGAGAGACAAAAAAAGTGGGAGGGGGGATTGGAAAGGGGGAGGGGGGGGGGGAAGAAGAAAATCTCAGCTAAGCTTCTCTGTGATTAATTTAAGTAATTAAGATGGAGGTAAGACGGGGGAAAGAAAGGTAATGTTTTCCTCGATACCTGTTGAAATTCAGCAAATATATTCCTGGGGTTTTATCTACCATACTATGCGAATGGAGAATGGGGTGGTGGTGGTGGGGGGGGGGGGGGTATTAATTCTGACAAAACATCAACATTTTAAAAAAAAAAGTTGTTGGAGGACATTACGTTGTTAGAACATTAGAGTTATGTGGTAGGCTGTGCGGATGTGAAGGCGGCCTTACGGACGTAAGGGCGCCCCGGCAAGATGGACGAAAGGGCGCCCCGGCAAGATGGAAGAGAGGGCGCCCCGGCAAGATGGAAGAGAGGGCGCCCCGGTAAGATGGACGAGAGGGCGCCCCGGCAAGATGGAAGAGAGGGCGCCCCGGTAAGATGGACGAGAGGGCGCCCCGACAAGATGGACGAGAGGGCGCCCCGGCAAGATGGAAGAGAGGGCGCCCCGGCAAGATGGAAGAGAGGGCGGCCCGGCAAGTCGGATCAGAAGGCGGACCGGATGGCAGAGTAGGCGCTCCGGCATGTCGGGTCTGAAGCCGGCCGGCTAGACACCAAGACGCCGGAATAGAGCTGGTTAACCACCGTTACCCTAGTACCGGCCAGCCGGAGCCGATCGGTACCGGCAATCCAATCGTGTTCAACAAACGACATCACGGCAATAGCTGCCCGTGTGCGCGCCCGGCAACGATGGCGCGATCCAGCGCAAATTGGATTCAATCATCGAGTTAATTATCCCGCCATTATTGTCGGCGATATCTTGTAATGATTGGTTATTGCAAATTAACTGCTGGGGTAAACGCGGCCTTAACCTTTCAGTGACATATTTAGAAGCAGACTCCGAAACGTGTGACGTTACAGCGGATCACGTGATATAGTTCAACAAAGGATTGGTCGAGTGGTTTGATGGGCGACCCGTGTCACCGAGTTTGGGCATTGCAGGATGTTGAAGCTTTGAGTTATTTCACGGCAGACGAACTGTGACGTCAGCTCATACATGTGACGAATATCAACTAAAATGGCGGATGTTTGTGATAGTCGATATCGTAATAGACTTAGGTTTCGTATTTTACTCCCCTTTTCCGTTAATATAATTATACCTTTCGTATGCGCGATAATCGGTATCGAAAACATCTCTGCGAGCGGTAACCGGTATCGCCCAACCCGTTTATTTCTAGCGAAGGTTGACAGTGGAGAACGTGTCCATGTCCAGCAAGAGCCATGGGAGCTAACAGCACGAGGTGGCTTGTCAGCAGGTAGATCACTTGTGCTGACTTGTGTTTTACCGAGATTAAAATGTTTTTAACGTCACACGAGAACGGCCCGGGGGAGGGGGGAAGGGGGGGGGGGCGTGAAAGAATTTCTCCCCCCTATTTAGGACACTACCATATCATGTGACACTTTAAAAAAAAAAGTTACATATAATTTATGGTAATTTCAATAAATAAACGGCAGGGGTAATGCAATTGTCTCGTTTTGTGGTTGAGTGGATGCGGGGAGAGCATTCATTAGTCTGTCCGTGTAAATCTGGGGGTGATTTGTGGCCCCTGTCACTTTTCACCTCTCGATACCTCCCACCTGTCACCTCTCCAAGAGAACGGCCCGCTACCTCCATAATAGAACACCTTGTCCTACGTCCGTCCCCCCCCCCCCCCCCATAATAGAACACCTTGTCCTACGTCCTCCGGCTACCTCAGTGACGTCTTAGGACCTTGTCCTCATCACTGCCAACAAGTGGTTACCTTAACAAGATCATATCTTAGGGAGACTGTCCTACTAAAGAGGACAACTTAGGACTTTGTCCTCATCACTGCCAACAAGTGGTTACCTTAACAAGATCATATCTTAGGGAGGCTGTCCTACTAAAGAGGACAACTGAGGACCTATGATCTTTGAACTATCCCCTCCAAAAAAACAACAACAAAAAACCTTACCATAACAACATATATAAGGAAGGCTGTCCTCATAATTACCTCTAATAGAGGGCAGCTTAGGACATCTGTTCTCTTAATTATCTCCTCCACAAAGGGACGTTTTAATACATACTACATAAGTAATTCCATATCAACACACCCTAGGTTGAACATCACACCTAGCGTCTATGCCATATATACAAACAGCAACACGCCACATAATGAAATAGGTAGGCCTACTCATAACATAAGAGAGAGGGACACAGCAACGAGGGACACAGCAACAAACGACACAAAAGACTAGTACAACCAGGTCAAGCAACTGTTTGACTTATGTGCACCAAGACAAGGGACCAGGCATGAATGGTGCCAGGGGGTACTCACTTTGCTGATGTTGCCTCGTCATATTTGGCCTTGATTTCAAACAATTCCGACTGGGCAGTTTCCAGAGCTGAGGAATAAAAGACAAAGACTGCTGGTACCAAGCACATAAACACACAGTAACTGTAGCATGCAGAGTTTTTTTTTCAGGCATCTTTTCGTGTGAGTGCAGGAGGGGGGGGGGGCGCAATGACAAACGTAATAAATTTTAGAAAGAACATATTTACTAGTATCCCTCCAGAAGAAAACATGTCTGAAATAAGCGCTGGTACCGTGTTTAGTTTTCATCAAACACATCTACAGTACATGTTAAACCACAGGCCCTAGTAAGGGTATGGTATGGCTAGTATCGTTACTGTAAGCCTGAGCCATTTGGGACCCCCTTACAGAGTTTTAGGTAGACTAGGATACTAGTTTTAGGTATACAAGTATACTCTGCTGCAGGTCTACTGTAGGGCACGCATCTTTATTTAAAACCCCGTTTTAACCCATCAGGCAAACAGACAAAACCATTTTCACCAAAATGTGTGAATAATTTACAACAGCATCCAGTTGTAGCTTACATTCTTCAACTACTTTCATATTTAGCAATCCCCCCTCCCTCCCCCAACGAGCAAGAAATAAATTAGTTCTTGTCTTGTCACCAGCCAGCACCTTAGAGTAATATTAATTGTCATGGCCGGGCCTGTGTCAGGCCTATAGACTTGAATGACATCCAGGGGGATGTTGTTGACATCGGCACATAGATTGTCTCCCTTCTCAAAAACAATCTTTGATACCGTACATAGATTGTCTCCCTTCTCAAAAACAATCTTTGATAACGTACATAGATTGTCTCCCTTCTCAAAAACAATCTTTGATACCGTACTTAAATAAAGTGTGGGATAAACACAATCACGTGATGGCCAAATACCTTACAATCACGTGATGGCCAAATACCTTACAATCACGAGATGGCCAAATACCGTACAATCATGTGATGGCCAAATACCTTACAATCAAGTGATGGCCAAATACCTTACAATCAAGTGATGGCCAAATATTTTACAATAATGCAATGGTCAAATACCTTAAAATCTTGTAATTGTAAAATATCTTACAATCATGTTGATGGTCAGATTCCATACAATCACGTGATGGCCAAATATTTTACAATAATGCAATGGTCAAATACCTTAAAATCTTGTGATTGTAAAATATCTTACAATCATGTGATGGTCAGATTCCATACAATCATGTGATGGCCAAATACCTTACATTCACATGGTGGCTGATGCCTTACAATCACATGATGGCCAAATACCGTACAATAGCATGGTGGCTAATACCTTATTGCAACCAAAACATTCTAAAGATGGCCCAATACATTACAATCACAATGTAGCCAAATACACTGGCTAAAAGGAGATTTTGACTTCTGTTTCACAAAAACTATTTAGGCTCTTTGAAGGACCACAATCTACATGGGCTTACCACTGTGAAGGGAGGTAATCTGCTGCTCAGCTTCACCCAATTTTTTAGCAACTGAAAGTTGTGTTTCTTGCAACTGTCTTTCTTTCTCAGCGAATGTTCTCTGTAGCTCTCGTTCTTTCTCTTTGGCTCGAGTCTGAAAGTCAAAGGAAAAAACTGTGTTACACGTTGTTTCTATGTTAACGCTACCCAAAGACAACTGTGTTACACGTTGTTTCTATGTTAACCCTACCCAAAGACAACTGTATCACGACAGCTGGGAGACAATTGGAGGATCCTAAGGCAACAGTCAGTAGTGTGGGGTGGGGGGGGGGGGGGGGTGGGGAGGGGGGGGGGGAAGAGAACATTTACATATGTACACAATCAACCGTCTATAGCCGTCCACAATTCACAGATTCAGTCCACTCTCTTTATCACCCAATCCTTGCAAATACTAGAAATCATCATCTACCACAAACCATCACCACCACAAATACTCATTTGCAATCATCTTCAGTCCATCACTACCAATCATCACCAAAATTGTTGAACAATCACCCACCTATCAAAGCCATCACAACAATCCACAATCGCCAACAACCACAAAAATCCACCCACACAATCCACAATAATCGCCCCCTCCATTGGCAGGCTCTACACTACATACCCCCCCCCCCCCCCCCACCAGCTACACCAAGCTGATCCCGATGTGACAGATTACCTCTACACAAGTACCCATGTATCAGGCAACAAGTGTGAAGATGGCGGGTACCCGGCCACCACCCGCCCCACCACATCCACCCCCCCCCCCCCCACCCCGCCATCGACCGCCTTACTTAGCCTAGTCAGAGCTGATACGATACTTATTTAAATACCACCACGGTAATCGTCACCCATCGATTTCAAACTTCGATCGTTCCGGTGGAACAGGATTAACGTCGGCTGAGACTAGCAACGATTTTCCCCTCTCGCTGATCATTCTGCCACAGTGTAAAACGACGGTTGTTGTGTATTTAGCCCAACACGAGTCTAGCACCGTAGAACGAGTAGGTAACAAAATGGTATGGGGCGGTGGGCTTGATAGCAGCATAGCCCTAGGCTACTCAAGACTGATGTTCAATGCTAGCAGCTTATTTAAACATCATGTATTTCACGTCACTAATGAGTATACAGATCAGCGTTGAGGGTTGGCAAATTTTATAGAAATTATGTTTTTCTTACTTCAGTTGATACATAGTTTACTGTAACTGTAACAGATAGAACTATTCTTTAAATAGTTTACAGTAAACGTGTAGAACTACTCTTGAAATAGTTAACAGCAAATCGATAAATAAACATCAGTAGAAAGTTTACAGTAAAGTGATATTTTATAAACAGTGAGTAGTATGTAAATACAACTGTTCACTATACATAGGTACCTGAAAACAACAGATAGCTAGGCCGATACAGTATTTGTATGAAATTGGTATATCAACACACCGGACATTTGACAAACACCGATAACGTGAATAATCCAGTAGATGAACGCAGACGACTCGATCCTTGATCTATGATCAATTAGTGATCTTATCGCTAGATCACTCATCGCCGTGGTAACCGATTGATCAGGCTGTCAGCCGCCATCGCAACAAAATCAACTGATTGGAAATATCGATCAAACATCGAGCAAATCAATTCAGAGTCCGGGGGATAATTTGGTAGATCGAATTCAGTCATTAAGCAGGGCCACGTAGATGGGTGACAGTGTAGTTTGTACCACTGTACATACAAGCTCTATTCGCACATAGCACTAGAAGTTTGAAGGTTTTAATACAACCACGGTATAGGGACCTAAGACATGCTTGATCTACGTGAATTCAATGCTTGCATTCACACATACATTGATATTCATTATGAGCACGTAAAAATACTTTTGTCTTCTTTATTGTATCTATGTTTATGTTTTAGTATTTATTCATTGATAGTTCTAGACTGATCATATAATAATTATTTGAAATTGTTATTATACTTAGTCTCTTGATGTAAAATGTATTTAGTAAAGTATCTTCTTTATTTTATGTTGATAAATCATCCGGCACTAAATAATATACAAACACTGTTGAAATACACTGAAGCATATTTCATTGCAAATAAGTTAACTTTAAAACATCTATATCCATGCAAATATAAAATAGTTAAAATTATCAGCCTAGCGTCCGTTGTATATTTCCTCAACGGGCAAATTATCTAGTTGAACTTTAAATGTTTACGTAGGTAAAAAAAAACATTTTTAGGGAATTATCTTTAAGCATCACAATCTGGAATGTTAATTATTTTATTATTAAAAAACTATAGTACCGCGTGTAAACCACAATTAGAAAAAAACTTACTTACGAGTAGGTGCTAAATACATTTGATAACTGTCGAATGTTTTAGCTGGATCATATGTAAGCATGTTGGATTCTTAGCTCCCCCGATACAATGACAACTTGGTATGATTAATTCTGGATAACGACACAACGAACACTAGTCATGCCGTGGTACTGGAGAGCCAGTTACCTACAATGTTCAAGGCAAAAATCGCCTAGGCCTGCCCACGAAAACTTTTTAAACATAACATTTCGTATTGATCCGAGTGAAATAAAATCTATTGGCCAATCCATGTTCTAAATGAGAGAAACCACGATTAAAGTGAATCAATAGCGTAAGTATAGTTGAGTGATCGGCAATTGACCATCTGTTGCTTGTATTGATTCCTTCCTACGCCAGTATCGATGGCGGCTAATGATTTATCGGCCGTGGGACAACAAGGCTTAGACGTGTTGTGCAAATGGTGTGTGAGTCTTGCTGTGAATGGCACAGTGATTGGCGTACAATGGTGCAGACGTGATGGTCATTGGTGGATGGGGTAGGGTGGGTGGTGGCAGAAGTATTGGTGGATGGTGTCAGAACTGTTGGTGGATGGGTAGGGTGGCTGGTGTCAGAAGTATTGGTAGATGTGGTAGGTAGATGGTGATAGAACGATTGGTAGATGTGGTAGGTAGATGGTGATAGAACGATTGGTAGATGTGGTAGGTAGATGGTGATAGAACGATTGGTAGATGTGGTAGGTAGATGGTGATAGAACGATTGGTAGATGTGGTAGGTAGATGGTGATAGAACGATTGGTAGATGTGGTAGGTAGATGGTGATAGAACGATTGGTGAAGTAATAAAAAAAAAATGATGAATCGATAGCATGGCTGTTGAATGCGCAGATTCATGGTGTAAATTTTAGAGTTTTTTTTTTTTTTCAGTTGTGAAGTGAACTTGTAGTAATTTAAAAGTGTTAAATCAGGGCGAATGGTATTTATTTAGGCGAATGGTGTTTAAAGTTAAGTGTTACATCACAGTGGATAATGTTTACAGTAAAAGGTGTAATATCAGCGTGGATACTTTTTACAACCAAATATGTTATATCATGATGAATGTATTTACAGTTATAGATGACACACAAGGTTGAATGAAACATGAAGTGTGACCATGAAAGCGGTGGCTAAGAAAACTCGGCCAGTGTTATATTGATAAGACGACATTTTGTCTTTCAACTGAAATATGCCAATCATTAGTGAAGGCAGACAGTGAAGGCCTAACGATCACCAATACGCCCATAGTGAAGTCGCTACGATAACCAATTCGCACACAGTGAAGTCTAGCATATCTCTGATAGCTGGTTAACGATATGAATCCCGCTCGTTACTACATGCAGGTGGATCAAGGCACGCGTTTCTATAGACATTTCACATTGACACGTTTCAATTAAAAAAAAAAAGTAAAAAAAAAAAAAAACAACTTTCTAACCAACCTATCCATCTCCCTAAAACGTGTATCAATTTGTTGAAAATGTTTCTCTCTCTCTCCCTGTCATCAATATGGTACCGAGGAAGAGCAAGCCTGAAAGCCATGTTTAAACGGAGCATGCTGAAGCGTAAGTAGCCATTTGAAAGAGTTTGTATCGGGTTACATGGCGGGCGTCCCCAGCACAAAGGCCGGGAGAGGTGTAAACCGAGATGGTACCCTGCAAGAGGTGAACCCATTCAGGGGACATCATGTGGAAAAGAAACAAGTCGCGGATTGGGGCCGATGTCTTCAGGTTGATTTTTCCCCTGCCCCGCCCGCCCACCAGACGTCGTCACGCTTGGATGGCGCCCCGGATCGATGCTGGTGTTCGGGTCATTGAAAATGTATTTTGGCAGATGTGTCGGGGCGGATGGAGGGGGGATGAAGGGTGGATCGGGCTGGTTGATGGTTAGATAGGACGGGTACATTGGGTGGGAGGGGGGTGGCTGAGGCGTGTTGATGGGGGTGGGTGGGGCGTATTGATGGGTGTATGTCTATAAATAATAAGTAGACGGTTTGTAGCGTATGGGGGACAATTTGATTCACGTGTAGTTGATGTGTAGTTATACATGGATTCAATGGTTCAAAACTTGATATACAATGGGTAGTTGAAACATAGGTCATGATATTAAGGGCAGGGATTATTTTATAACTTTAAATACTCTGGGTAGTTGAAACTTAGTTCATAGGTCATGTTATTAAAGGCAGTGATTATTTTATAACGAATAACTTTAATTCTTTTAAAAAGCTGCAACTATTCTAAATTTTAAAAAATTGAGCACCACCCCCTATTGATGGTGCCTCATTACTTCTAAAACAGGATGTAGACAAGCCCCAGGCGCCAGGGCTCCCCCCATCCTACCATCTCAAGTTGGTGCAGCAACAAAAGGACGGCTGGGGAGAAGATGCGATATTGTAAGAATTTGAAATCGGATCGGCTCCATTTGATCCCGAGCTTAGCCGTGTATAGGACAGTCACGGTGGAGTGGAGATAACCCGGTGAATGAGGGGGGGGGCACACAAAGGGGTGGGGGAGTTCAATAGAGCCGAGCTTAATTTACATAAGCCAGATGAGGGATGGTGACAGAAACACATGTATCAATAATTAAATAGGGCGGAAGACATGGTAGGCTAGAAGGTTATACAGGCGTACAGAATCTGTTTCAGTACAAATGTTGCCTAGCTGTCATTAAAAATGTTGGACAGACAATATCAGTACAAATGTTGAACAGACAATATCATACAAATGTTGAACAGACAATATCAGTACAAATGTTGAACAGACAAACAATATCAGTACAAATGTTGAACAGACAATATCAGTACAAATGTTGAACAGACAAACACTATCAATACAAATGTTGAACAGACAAACACTATCAGTACAAATGTTGAACAGACAAACACTATCAATACAAATGTTGAACAGACAAACACTATCAGTACAAATGTTGAACAGAGAAACAATATCAGTACAAATGTTGCCTAGCTGTCATTACAAATGTTGAACAGACAATATCAGTACAAATGTTGAACAAACAATATCAGTACAAATGTTGAACAAACAATATCAGTACAAATGTTGAACAAACAATATCAGTACAAATGTTGAACAGACAAACAATATCAGTACAAATGTTGAACAAACAATATCAATACAAATGTTGAACTGACAAACAATATCAGCACAAATGTTGAACAGACAGACACTATCAATACAAATGTTGAACAGACAAACACTATCAGTTCAAATGTTGAACAGACAAACAATATCAGTACAAATGTTGAACAGACAGACACTATCACTATCAATACAAATGTTGAACAGACAAACAATATCAGTGCAAATGTTGAACAGACAAACAATATCAGTACAAATGTTGAACAGACAAACACTATCAATACAAATGTTGAACAGACAAACAATATCAGTACAAATGTTGAACAGACAAACAATATCAGTACAAATGTTGAACAGACAAACAATATCAGTACAAATGTTGAACAGACAGACAATATCAGTACAAATGTTGAACAAACACTATCAGTAAAAATGTTGAACAAACAATATCAATACAAATGTTGAACAGACAAACACTATCAGTAAAAATGTTGAACAAACAATATCAATACAAATGTTGAACAGACAAACACTATCAGTAAAAATGTTGAACAAACAATATCAGTACAAATGTTGAACAAACAATATCAGTACAAATGTTGAACAGACACTATCAATACAAATGTTGAACAGACACTATCAATACAAATGTTGAACAGACACTATCAATACAAATGTTGAACAGACACTATCAATACAAATGTTGAACAGACACAACGAAAACAAGACTTAACAAAAGAAGATGTGCCGAGGTGGGGAGGGTGGGTGTGGGGAGTAGGACGGGGACGAGGGGGGGGGGGGGGGGTACGTCTGTTCAAATATCTCGTCTAGTTACGGTCCTCTACTTTGCATCTTTTCTTTTTGTCCCCGATAATTCACGTCTTCACGCATGGACGGACAGATCTAAAACTTGAGAGGCGGGCACGGCGGGGTGGGAACCAGCCAGTACCCTAGCTAGACCAGCGCTATTTTTAGCTTCTACGACTCGAGCAAGTAAACGGATGTTAAAAACAAACAAATACACGTACATCGATACTGCGAGGATCCATGTAAACATAAAGGGGTGGATCTGCACCTGTGTCGAAAATTGTAGTTTTTTTTAAATTAATAGTAATAATAGTCTTTAATTTCATCGCAACGATTATTGAAACTTGACGGCTAGAGACGGTTGATCAGTCAAGCATGACCAGTCTCTACACTCACAGCATCGTGACTTAAAGCATACAACCCGACCACCTGACTGACCAGTGACCTTAGTCCGACACGCCACCACACTTAACACCATGAAACTGACACACCACCCAACCCAACCACTAAACTGACCAGTGACCTTAGTCCAACACACCACCACACTTAACCCTATGAAACTGACACACCACTCAACCCAACCACCAAACTGACCAGTGGTGACCTTATTCCGACACACCACCACACTTAACACCATGAAACTGACACACCACCCAACCCAACCAGTTAACTGACCTTAGTCCGACACCCCACCACACTTAACACCATGAAACGGACACACCACCCAACCCAACCACTAAACTGACCAGTGACCTCATCCCGCCACACTTAACACACTGATGCCACACACCACCCCCACCACACACAACCACACTGCCTGCCTCAAGTTAACAGCCCTGTTTTAAAATGAACACAACACGGCTTAAATCTTACCCCTAGTCATCCTGTTATTGTAGCGATATTTCTTCCTCGGCATAGCGTCACAGTCTCTCCTCAATGTTTATCTCCCTGTACACCAGCACACCACTACACTAAAGCCATCCCAGCTTCCCGAAAACTGAAACACCACCAGAATCCACAGCACAGGCAGAAAATCTGAATCCTCACAGCACAGTTCACACGAGAGAATCAATCGCCAGCATCCAGCACCGCACACAAGCAACAGGTGTTCCGCGCAGGGATTCCATCTGATCGGCCCGACTCGCTCCACTAGCGCGCGCACTCGGGGGATCACAAATCAGCCGACGTTCAAACCAGTGGGGTCGGTCGGTGGTGGTGGTGGTGGCTGCGGCGCGAGACTGCTGGCGATCACCTGGACTTAGATAACTGCAAGACGCGGTTCGAACCGGGCGATCAGAGCAGCGGGAGGGGCCTGCACGCTACAGCCCCTCCCCCTTTCACCAATACACCCAGATGACGCGGCGCGCGGGGCCGCCTAGCTCAGCTTATTGTTCAGACTTCACTAGTCTATTGTTCAGACTTCACCATCTATTGTTCAGACCGTACTATTTACACTACTTAGTACGCGTGTAGTGGTGTAGATCAGCTATCATAAACAACATAATACAATAACTTATCTTAAATCTGAGACACTATTTAACTGCTCGTTTTACCCTACTCCCTGACTGTTCACAAACCAATAATTAGAAAGGTGACCGGCCAGTTATTACATGGTTCAATCTTACCATAGTGCAGTACAGGTTCATGTGAACCATATTTTCATGTAGAATTAACTAGACAGAATTTTAAAAATATATATAAACAAAACCCCAAACCTATGCGACGCCATCGACAACTATTGTATAGTGGAGTTTTTCCTTCTTATGTAAAAAAAAAAAAAAGGTCTTGTTACGTTTCTAGCAGAGCGAGAGAAATATTGAATCAAAAGATATTTGAAATCCCGATCACGTAGAGAAAGAAGTGAAGCGGGAATTTCCGGTAAGCCGAGAGTCACGTGATGCGGGAATGTGATAAGTGAACAGCCACGACAGGACTGAAGATCAGGAGCCTCGTTTGGCGTTGAATGCAATAAGATGGCGAGTGATTGATCAAGCAACGTCTTCTTTCATCGGGACCTTCACGCGCCATTGTACCCCGGCACAAAGCCCGTTTTGTTGGGCCGTGAACGTGGCTCCGGGGTAGGCTACGTCTGACTGATCCCGGCCCCGGGCCGACACAGCCGGGCTGAGATAGCAAAGACAAACACTCGGGCCCTCGCTAAAAGCTTTGCATAACAGTCGTTGGTCAAGCCCAACAAATCAGGTCTGGTTGTGTTCAGGGCAATCGCTCACCGCTCTAACTTAAACAGGCTTATGTCATGTACTTTGTGCAGCCTTGAGTTGATTGCGAAATTATTTAACCACAACATGCTATGTGGCAACACTATTTTAACAACCAACGCAGATGTTTTAAAATATAATTCTTTTATAGACGTATATCTTCGTATTATTCTAAGGACAGGGCATCCTATATGACAAAAGTTAAATATAGTAGCAGATAAAAGTAGGTCACAAATCAGTTCAGCGTCGTAGTCAATTTTTTGACCACACAGGAAACTCGTTATTATCTCCCTCCATTATGCGCATAACCGCCACGACCACAATAGAGGCGCGTCTGCCCATAATGACTTGAACCAACACAGTTCAACTGTTACAGCATCAACCCCTCCCCTCCACACACACACCAGCCATCAAACGTGTAGGGAGGACCCCCATTGAGCAGCCGCCACTGGTTTGGTGGGGAGATAGGCAAGTGGCACTTGATGACAATAATAACCGTTTTCCTGCAGTTCTCGATAGCAGAGGTGGAAACTGTACCACTCCTGATCGGCCATGCTTCCGCCTGCCACTTGACTAGCGGGGCTGTGTTGACCGCGGTTTCGCTAGGCTCTCCTCGCGCAACCGGCAGGGAGGGGGAGGGAGGTAGGGGGGGGGGGGGGTTGGATCAACTCATCTACGTTCACGACTAAAACATCCGTTCAGAGTAAATACTGGACAGCCCTACCCTGCCCCTACGTTAAATATTCTCCTCTGGTTGATCGCATGCACAAGAAATCGGTGGGGCGAATTTTTCGGTTTTAGATGAGTAGGCGAAATAGGTGGTTGGTTGGTTGGTGGGGCCAATTTTAGGTTTAAGAGGAGTAGGCGAAATAGGTGGTGGGTTCATCGGGCGAATTTTTTCGGTTTAAGAGGAGTAGGCGAAATAAGTGGTTGGTTGCTAGGGCGCGATTTGGGATTTAGATTAGTAGACGATATAGGTTGCCGAGTGAAAAAACTAGGGGGCGGCGGCATTAAAGTGCGTAATGGATTCGTTACTATTTCTATGACAAGAAGAATGCTAATCCACGACCTAGAAACCCCACCCGTCTACCATCTGAGCCACACCGAGGTGTACATTACCCTGTAACGTAAGATGATGGGGGGGGGGGGGGATCCAATGAGTCACTCTAGGAATGTAAGAAGGTGCCATTCAATGTATACATAACAAGAGGTGACAGTAGAACCAGCAAACAGACAGCATAGGGGCAGCACAAAGTCAAAGACCGACTCAAATCAGCAGATCAATTACTGACTCCGACTAACAGACATGTTCACTGACTCCGACCACTACTCACTCCGGCCCACAGAAATGTCTACTGACTCCAATCAGCAGACACGTCTACTGACTCCAACCATTAAAGACTCCGACCAGCAGACACGTCTACTGACTCCGACCGTGACTCCGACCAGCAGGCACGTCTACTGACTCGAACCATTACTGACTCGAACCATTACTGACTCCAATCAGCAGACACGTCTACTGACTCCAACCATTAAAGACTCCGACCAGCAGACACGTCTACTGACTCCGACCGTAACTGCGACCAGCATACACATCTACTGACTCCAACCAATACTGACTCGAATCAACAAAAATGTCTACTGACTCCGACCAGCAGGCACATCTACTGACTCCAACCATTACTGACTCCGAGCAGCAGAAAAGTGTACCGACTCCGTGCAGCAGAACTGTCTACTGCCACCACAGCCGAGTCAGCGTGGAGTAAGAGTTGCCGGCACTAGATGATGGATCCCGGGCCAGATAGCCGCCCAGATAACTCTCTCAATCCACAGCTCACGAGATAAAACACTTCTTGTACACAAACCCCCCACCCCCTAACCCCCCTCCTAGATTTTAAAACCAGGCGTCAACAGGCGGCCATTTAATGCTTCTCAGATCCTAATAATCCGGCTGTAATCTATTTATAACATGACATTCAGCCCCCCCCCCCCCCCCCCGTCCACCCCACAGTATCAATACCAAATACATAAACGAAAGCAAGTTATTACCACTCCAGCATTACACACCGGATGTGGGAAATCATAGCACCATTTTGCCGGCATCGGCAAAGGTCAATTAGGAAAATCACGTGACAAGGGAGGGGTCAGCGGGTGGCGCGTGAAAATAAAATAAACACCACCAATCACACGGTCATGCGCAGACTTCGGGTCATCTGGCCATGACAATAAAATAAAAATGACCTTTAATACCCAACTTAAATTTAGAAGCGATGAACACGAAATGAAAAAAAAAATAATTATCCAAAATCACCCCGACCCTCATTTCCCTCCCCCACACACCCAGGCCCTAACCTTTCAAACGGTGTATTGAAGCCATCTATTTGTAAGAGCGCAGCATCCACGGAGCCGGGCTAGGTCATGGGGGCGGATCATTCACTATATGGGCGATCGTGGGGCGATAATACCACGCTTCCTGTTAACCTTTTTTCTCGACATGGGGCTGAACCACGGCTTCATTTAGCCGGTCGAATAACGAGGTTAGTAATTAGAGGCTTTGTTAAACCGGTCTAATCAAATTTGAACATTAAAAAAGGTCATAGATGGATTTCATTAAGCGGCCAGGGCCGTGAAGTAACAGCTTAAAGTTGACAGTACTTCAACTTAGCAGAGCTTTCAACACGCTAAACTAGCGTCCAAAGTCCTGTAAATATTTGTACTTAAAACTACTACTAAAACAATAACAAAGCAGTGGGTCTCAATATGTGAGTGAGGTATCCGGTTTTCAGTTCAATGCGACATGTATACCAGTTCCAATCAAGGTGGTAAATTTGGCTACTTTATAGTGGGGCAAAAATTAAACCCGAGAACTGCAAGTGCAACTAGCAAGCTTTAGATAAATGGTGACTGAGCCCAATTCGCTAACAGACCAGATCCCCATGGTAACACTTGACTGATTGAAACCCACTCGCCAACCAAATCCCATAATAACAACAGATTTGCTGACTGAACCATATTGCCAACCAAACCCCATGTTAACATTTGACTGACTGAACCCCACTTGTCACCCAAACCCCATGTTAACACTTGACTGACTGAACCCCACTTGCCAACCAAACCCCATGGTAACACTTGACAGACTGACTGAACCCCACTTGTCAACCAAACCCCATTAAACCACTTGACTGACCAAACTCTATACGTCAACTACCAACAGACCCACATGTTAACTTATATCCGACTAAGCCCCACTAACCAGTACTTAACTTGAACGATGTAGACCAATTCCCAAGCACAAGCATACAATAAACAAACCTAAATTGGACAACACCCCACGTACAGTTTGTCAACAACCGTAACTTTACTCACTCTCCACATCAATCCAACATCCTAACACGCAAACCCTGGTTCCACACAATCAACAGACGAACCCAACCCGCTAGCAAGTTGACTTCATGCACCAACTGACCGTTCACAGACCAGAGAAAGGACAAGAAAGAGGGTGAGAGAGACAGATAGTGAGAGAGAATAAGATAGAGAGTGCTGGCACGAGCGGGTTTGAGAGAAAAATAAGGAGTGTGAAAGTGACAGAAAAAAAGAGTGATAGAGAGAGGGTGAGAGATGAGAGGGGGTCTGACAAAGAACGAAGAGAGAGCGAGGGACAGAGAGCAAGGGAGAAGGAAGGGAGAGGGAGAGCAAGGGAGGGAGTGGTAGGAGGAGAGAAACGATGGGCTAAGAGAGATGGCGAGAGAAGGAAGATGAGGGAGAGAAAAATCAACCTAACTGACCTGTGCTGTAGCCTCCACTCTCTCTTCATGTTCCCGGAGTTTCTCCTTCAGCTGCTTGATAGTGACCTCTGCAGACAGAACAACAAGTCCATCAACACCACATCATCACCACACCAATACCACACCAATACCACATCATCACCACATCATCATCACACCAATACCACATCAACATCACATCAACACCACACAGCACAAGCACAAGACAATCCAAAACATCC